TTCATAAACGCCAATTTTAATTATTTTTGATATGTTAGCAGTAGTTTATTTTGTCATCTATAATATAAAAATGAAATGAGTTGCTGAATATGTTGCTAAGCGCAAATCTCGAGAGCAGCTGAACCAATATCGCTAATTATTTTTTTATAATATTCCTTGAAGTACGAAGATGGTTCTTACGGAGAGAAAAATTTAAAAAATTGCCTGAAAAAGTGTAAAAACAACACTTTTTTATATTCCCATACAAAAGATTCGTAATAATACTTAAAAGTCAATTTGAACTTTAATACCATACAATAAAGTTTAACTGTTAGTGGAGGGGTTCCGGGAAGGCAAAAAAATTGAGTGACGTTAGTATGGTATAGATATTAATGTCAAAATTTATAAGATGGTAACAACAAAAACCAAATTTGGGTACCGAGCAAAAAAATTGATATCCATGAAATCGTAGTAAATTCCACGCGGGCGAAGTCGCGGGGCACAGCTAGTAGTTTATGAAACTATTAAGCCGAACGTCCACCGCGAACTAAACTAACTTAGTTTATCTTAGCTCGCATAGCTGAGCTAGTTTTTCATACATGTGCGTAAAATGCTAAACTAAGTCAAACTAATTTAGTTGTGTAGGCCGATCCGAAAAGCTAAAGGTCTCTCACCCCCTTACCCGGGTATTCTATCCCGGGTTTCTATATTTAATATAACGCATAGTTTTCTTCGTTTTTATGAGCCGTTTTGCAGTAAATGATAATTTGTTTCAAAAAGAGCGGCTCCAGCAAGCAATTCAATTATTTGTTAACCGTTTCAAGTTTTTATGTTTTTAGTTTAGTAACAAAAACTTTTTACGTAATAAAATGGATCGTTACCGAGAACGAAACTTTCCTTGAATATAGGAATCGGGCATTAGTCGCATTGTACACATTTGTATGAAATATTTACGTAATTAAAGATTGACGATCGCAGTAGCCAACGTCTGGCACCATTGACGGTGGCCATCACCAATCTGGGTAATAAACGTCTGACGCAAACGAAATGGTTATAACTCAGAAAGTAAGAAGCCAATACTATGTTATGTTACATTTCTCTCATTTCTCATAGTTTCCTTTTACGCCCACTTATTATCGGTATGATGTGTGTTGGTACTTCAATAAAACTTGACCCCGATGGGATGATGATAACATAATATCCAAAAAATACAGCGTTGTTTTGTTTTACAAAAAATTATGTTTTAGTATTGAAATGGTTCAAAAAACTATGTTAAAAATATTACGTGCACACTCAGCACGCAACAATGTCGGTGGTTCCTTTTTTTGGTTTTCTTCTTTTTCTTTTTTAGCGTGCAGTTTCTTCGTGGCCAGTATGTTTATGTTTATACAATAAAAGTAAAAAAAAAATTATTTGCAGTCGTAAGCGGTAACAATGTGTTATATTGAGCATGTGTGACGAGTGAGTACCAATATGCTTTCACTTAAAGTTTTGGCCAAAATATCGCCTGCAAACTATAATCTATTGTTGACTGTGACCCCAGTTAGGTCATTATTCATCTATCGATTGTCACAAGATATCTCTATCTTCCTTTAGGCGACTTTTAGATAATTTATAGGTTATTAATTAATATGCCTCCACTTTATGGTAGGACGATTATCATTTTGTTACGCGCTGTGGGTGTCATAAAAGGATTTTATTTGATTGGCTGATCTACTGGCATCCAATAAACCATTTTGTTTTGAAATATAAAAGTCACTTTCATAAAGATATTTATTTTAAAGTATTACGACAATCGACAACAGTTATCATCGCGACGTGTGGCCTTTTCATTATAGCTTTATCTCCAGCTCGAGAAATAATTCATAGAAAACATTGCGTTTATACTCGTATCTCCAAACGCGTAGGTAGTTTCTGTTTTTAAAATGCGTTTAGAAATTTATCATACATGATTAATCTTAATTACGTTACGTCATTGAAATAAGTAGAACTGTGTATTTAATAAAATATAGTTAGTTTATGATGTAATATTAAATGTACAGTCTAAACTGTGCTTAAAAATGTATTTAAATGGTTTATTATCAAATTCTGGTTTTATTGCTAAGCTTACTCAAAAGTCTTAACTTTTTTTAAAATAAAACTATTTTTTACGGTTTTTATCGCGTATATTAACTTATTTTATATTCCCGACGTTTCGAGCACTTTACAGCACCCATGGCTACGAGAGGGAGTGATGTGTTCGACGTCCCAATGTCATAGTTAGCCATGGCTACCTCCAGATTCAAATTATTAATTTTTGTTCCAATCTACGCAGTATGAACTTATAGTATCTTGAAGTCTTGCAGCTGTATACTTGGGTTGGGTTTCATCATCATCATTACAGCCTATCACAAGTCCACTGCTGAACATAGGCCTCCCACAAGGAATGCCATAAAGCACGATCCTGAGTCACATGCATCCATTGACTTCCTGCATGTCTTACCAAGCGCCACACGCTATGTTGGTCACTCTAGTTCTACTGCGGATATCCTCATTTCTAAGTTTATCACGCAGAGAAAACCCTCTCCATAGCTCGCTGAGCAACCTTGAGCGTCCTCCTGCGGCCAGCAGTGAAGGACCACGTCTTAGATCTATAAGCCATCACTGGCAACACGCACTGATAATTTAGTTTTCAGGTTTTGAGGTATACCTGACGAGAAGATGTGTCGTAATTTCTCGAACGCTGCCCAGTCAAATTGAATCCGTCGATTGACCTCTCGATAGAAGTTGGACTTACCTAGTCGGACCATTTGTCCCAGGTAAACATACTTGTCAACAACTTCGAGCTTAGTCCGGCATCATCAAAAACTACCGGCATAGGTGTGACATGGACATTAAACATGATCTTTGTTTTGTCCATGTTTATCTTAAGACCTATCCGTTGGGAGACACTATTGAGGTCATTGAGCATAGTGCTTAGGTCCTCCAGCGATTCTGCCATAAGAACTATATCGTCGGCAAATCGAAGGTGAGTGATGTACTCGCCATTGATGTTAATATCGTATCCTTTACAGTCCAGTAGATTGAAAACGTCTTCCAATGCAGCGGTGAACAGTTTCGGGGATATAATGTCACCTTGTCTTACACCTCTCTGCAGTTGGATAGGTTTCGTACTCTGATTCTGTCTGTACTCGAATAGCCATCGTAGCTCTACTGTATAACCACTTCAGCACTTTGATATAGCTCCAGTCAACTTGGCACCGCTGAAGGGACTGTAGCACCGCCCAAATTTCGATGAAATCAAAGGATTTGTCATAGTCCACATACGCAAGGCAAAGTGGCAGATTATACTCTTCGGTCTTCTGTACAATTTGCCTAAGGGTATGTATGTGGTCTATGGTGCTAAAGCCTTTTCGGAAACCGGCTTGTTCGAGATGCTGGGAGTCATCCAGTCTGCGTGCGAAACGATTCGTAATAACTCTCGAAAACAGCACGTAGACGCGGCTCAGAAGGGAAATCGGTCTGTAGTTATTCAAGAGAGCGTTGTCACCTTTCTTGAGTAAGACCACCGCACTTCTGCTCTACGCCTCGGGTTGGGATTTAATTTGATTAATTATAGGTTCCCAAGCAGATAGCAGCACCCAGCCATGTTCTTTATTGAAATTAGGATGTTTTTTTTTTATTTCAATAGCCTCGCGAATCATCCTTGGAAGGTATCGGTGTTCTTTAGCGAGGATTTATGGTCTATCAAATCTAATATAGTGACGGGGGCGATCCTGTACGTGATCCCGTGACCAAGGGTGCTGTAAACTGCTCGAAACGTCGGGAACATAAAATAGGTTAATAAACGCGATAACATCCATGAAATCTAGTTTTATTTAAATGTATAGTGTTCGCGTAAATATAAGAAAACTAATTTTTTTTAAATATTTATATTTCTGGTCATGGGCTTTAAAAATATTAAAAACTCTTTTAAAATGACACATTTAAGACAGTTATTCAAAACAAATCATGATTAAAGCGACAGTAGCCTAATGGCAGGGTGCGGACCGCGAACTCTAAAGGTCGTGGGTTAGAATCCGCCATTCGCTACTGTCGTGAACGACTTCTGACACAAGCATTTTAAGCATACCAGGAGTGGTTAAAGGGATTATTTATTTATTTATTTCAGGCAGAGTCCATATGACTTTTTAACAAATTAAAATTATATCTACGCAAAAGAAGGCATAACACTATGACTTATGAGGATACGGTGCATATTTTACGCGAAGCAAAACGGCAGAACTTAATATATTTGTCAGCCATGTCAACTGGAGTTAAGAATCTAATATAATTCCCATTAATACGGTCATATTCAAAAGTATCACAGTGTCTACTCAGCAGCGTAAATTTCATGCATTTTGCTATCACTTTGAAGTAATTGAATAAAACTACTTTTTTACGGATTTTATCGCGTTTAATTAACTTATTTTATATTCCCGACGTTTCGGTTGCTTTCCAGCAACCATTGTCACGGGGGACTGAGGTGATTGACGTCCCGATGTCAGAGTTAACCCGGACTACCTTCAGCTTTTTAAAAAGCTTTTTATGGTCGCGGGGGACGTCAGTCACCTCAGTTCCCCGTGACCGTGGTTGCTAGAAAGCAACCGAAACGTCGAGATTATAAAATAAGTTAATTAAACGCGATAAAACCCGTAAATAAGTAGTTTTATTCAATGCTTAGTGTTCGCGTAAATATAAGAAATCATTACTTTGAATTAAATTATTAGCGGTGTAACAAGAAGAATCTTTATCTAGAATTCAAAGGCACTTTAAAATAGAATGTATCATCAGCAAAAAGACAAAATTCAGCAGTGCCTTGCACTATATGCGGCGGATTGTTAATATGGACAAAGAATAAAAATGAACCAAGGATCGAACCTTGAGGAACACCCATTCGCATTTCGCATTACTTTGCCGAAGACAATTTGCTACTCGCATAGTAGTACATTCTTAGATTTACTTTATTTTACTTTTACGGATAAGTCATTCGACTATTTCAGGTACACGAGAAACCTGGTCGATGCCGGCAATGGCGCGTTCAACATAATGATACTGTGCTGGGGACCTGGACACGCCTCGGCAATACACGACCATGCCGACTCACATTGTTTCATGAAAGTCTTAAGCGGGAGTTTGGAGGAAGTTAGGTATGTGAATTATACTGGTAAAATTTATGGTGAGTGCCGTTTGGTACCTTGGTTATGGGTTGAGATCCATTTCGAGACTCATTTCGCTAAACTCATACATTTTTGATTTCAGTTTTTTTTTTTATTCTGCATCATTAGTATCATAATTCATTTTAAAATCGTATTCAAGAACAGTGTTATGTATGACTAGCCGTGTGGAATTTATTACGATTTCAATGGTTTTAATTTTTTGGCGCGGAACCTTAATTATTTTTCTAAAATAAAAGTATCCTAAGTTACTCCTTATAATATCAGCTATCTGCCAGTGAAAGTTCCGTCAAAATGAGAGCCACGCGGCAGCTTTTGCTGTCGCACGGATGGGCCGGCTCGAACCGGGGTAGTACCACGACCTCACAGAATACCAGCGTGAAGTAGAAGTTTACCTCTGCGTTTCGCTTGGTGAGTGCAGGTGGCCGGAGGCCTTTTTTACTGGAAATGAGGCATTCCATCTTAGTCCTCACGGTTGACAACGCATCTACATTTTGATTTGTAACAGAGGATAGATGTAGATGTCTATGGGCCGCAGCAACCACTTACCATCAGGTGGACTGTGTGCTCGTTTGTCACCCTTATCCTATAAAAAAAAAGATTAGCCGAAACAAACAGACAGACAAAAGTTTTAAAAGTTTTTTTGTTATTAGTACCGTATTTACTTTCATATGCATTTAGTAAAAAGCTGTTATTTTAATATTACAAACAGACACTTCAATTTTATTTATTTGTATGTATGTATGTATTGTATGTATAGATGTATAGATAAGTGCAGTATCGATACCTTCTCCCTGATAATGTAGGTAGGTACTGTTCCAGCACCAGTAGCTACAGTAATAAAATAATAAAAAAGAACCTAAATAGTTTCCTTTTTTGTGAATTTACTTTTAACTCCTGCCTGAAATTCGCATAGTGTTGCGTATTTGTTTAAATTGTTATCTTTAATTTAATTAATGTGTTATCGTTTAAATTTTATTATCTTCATTGTTAGTTTCTTATTATAGATTTGAACTGTTTGAGGTCATCATTTATAATTACATAGATAGTTCCATGATAAATATAACAGAACTTGAGCTCTGACGGAATTAGTTCAGCTAACCAAAATGATGAAATGTAGGTAGGTATAATTTTAATAGTTAATATACGTTTTGATCTTGATTAAGAAAAAACTTCCAAGTAAATATATTTAGGTTTAACAGATGAGTCCGGTTGTGTTCTTTATTTCTTATCACTGACCATATCCCGAAAACTTCTATGTTGTTTGTAGCGTTAGTGTTCCGCGTCAAATTTAGCAAAACGTAACACTTATGGAATCACCTTGATGTCTTTCGGTCTGTCTATTTATCACATACGATTTCTCAGATACTATAACTTAGTTAAAACTATCTGTTCTCGTTAAGAATAAGAATTCTCGATAAGAATCAAATTGCAGATGCGTTGTTACCCCTGAGGGCTAAGACGGAATGCCTTGTTTCCAGTAAATAGGCTCTACCGTTCTCTATACTCACTATACGAAACATGCTGTGATTTATGCTGCATTGAGCTGCTATTTTATGCTAATATTCTGTGAGAGTGCGGTCCTACCCCGGCCAAGCTGCCCCATTTGTGCTACAGCCATAATATAGCTGCAGCTTGGCTCTACCAGTAAATTTTTCAGGATTGATTTTTTTATTAGCGTGATAATTTTTAATGAATAATCTAATAAGTTAAACTGATGGCAGGAACACTGATGGCAATAGTTGTGAATACACATATAGCGTGTATTTGACTAAAATTTAATTGTGTTTTGATTTTTACATGAAATTTGCATTTTAGATATCAGTGGCCAAGCAACGAAGAACCAGAAATAGTAAGAAAATTGAAAAGAAAAAATTCGTGCTGTTTTGGAAATTTAGAAAAGTCGATAGAAGACAAATTATCTGAAATAAATATCAGTTGTCAAAATGAAACCTGTCCGAATTTCGGCGCGAAAATTGACAGCTTAGATAACTGCGAACAAAATGGCGACGAAGAACATTACGAAGCTCACAAAATGGAAGAAATAGGAAGGACTAAGTTAGACGTTAATGATGTTTGTTATATAAATGGTAAGTATTTTTTATTTATCTTGCCCTAATTTAAATTCAGAGGCCGCAACTACGCCTCACTTGTTAAAAAAAAATATTTTTCATTTTTGCAATATATTTAAAATATATGTCATTGGCTTTAAATCAAAATTGAAGAAAGCATAATCAACTAAAAAAAAAAAAAACTAGCGCATGGAGGTTTCCGTACCATTGTAAAACACGTTCCTAATAGAGGAACCCCTTTTTATTTTTAATTTATATTTATTTTTATTACTTAAATCTTGTTATAACGGCAACAGAAATACACAACCTGTAAAAGACGAATCATGAGATACAGACGGCTGTACGGACAGCGGAGGCATAGTAATAGGGTCCCGTTTGTTAACTTTTGGGCACGGAACCCTAAAAAGGAGACCGTTAAGTTTGACATACATAAAGACACATTGCGGATAAATACCTAGACACAAACACGGACCTATGAATTTGAAAAGTGTAAAAAGTATAAAAAATCATTTATTGATTCCTCCATCATTTTTGTGTATTTTAACATTTAGTATAATATCATTGGCGATTGAAGTCTATAAGAGCTTCCGGGAATTCCACATTATTTAATTTTAGGAATGAATATTATATTTCAATTGTGCAGATGCATTAGGCTTGCATCGCATGGAAAACCCATCGCACGTAGACGGAGCAGTATCTCTACACTTGTACTGCCCGCCGTTTGACAGCTGCCGGATGTTCGACGTGCGGACCGGGAAGGCCACACAAATCAAAGTCACCTTCTGGTCCATGTATGGAAAGAAGGTCAATCGAGTAAGTGTTTTTTTAAGGAATACTGAATAATCGCTCCATTTAATAATAATAAGATATTGACCCTCCAAACTGGTTACAAGTTATACAAACAAAGGATAAATTTATAACACTATATATTTATAATGGTGGAGCTAATATATGGAATAGAATAGAATTGAATATTTTTTATTCAATATAGATCACATGTGTAATTCTTATTGGATGTCATTTTTTACTTTACCACTGGATCGAAAAAAACCTTCTGTCCTGGGAAGAACCGACAAGAAACCCAGCGGGACTTTTTTTTAAAGTAAATTTTATATTAATGGTTGTACAAACTATTTACAAAATTTATTTTAGAAATTGCTTAAAAGTGACCACCTCATTCCCAGAGGTTGTTATCAACCATGTATTCCTTTATATTATAATAACCCTTTTTATAGTTTCAGCTTATCAAAACATTTAAACTTGGTAATAGAGAGAGCCTGTACACTTTCCGGGACCTTGTTGTAATAGCGTTATACACTGCCCCAAGAATGAGTTACTGACAGTGTGACTGTAGCTTGTGTTTGTTCCTAGTGTTTACAGAATGTATATCACTTTTTTTTTACTAAAACTACCTTAGTTTTGATGAACATTTTTTATAGCATAGGGTGAAAAACGCGCACACTGTCCATCTGATGGTAAGTGGTTGCTGCGGCCCATAGACATCGACATCTATCCTCGATTACGAATCAAAATGCAGATGCGTCGTCACCCGTGAGGACTAAGATGGAAAGCCTCGTTTCCTGCTATTTTACGCTGGTATTCTGTGAGAGCGTGGTCCTTCCCCGGTCGAGCCGACCCATTCGTGCTACATTTATACTACTAATATAGCTGCAGTGTGGCTCTACCACGTTAAAGCATTATAATAAAGTTAGTAAAAATTACTTTGCACATATCCGCTTAATAAAAGAAAATGATGTGTCTTACCTAGTTCGAAGAGCACCTCCCACCCTCCCTCTATTGCGTGCCCTATCCCCATCACCACTAATCCCAGCACCACTACTCCCAACACCACTACACTAGGAAAGACACACCACCGACGAAAATATGACGTGTTTCGCCTCTACACGAGCCATCTGTGAAATAGACGCTGCGATGGCTGACCGCTATATATTATTTTATTGTGTCTACTTTTAAACAATATTATGTTGGTCCACCCTAATTCGGGATATTAGCGTGTCTGTTTTGTTAAGCTCAGTGCTTTGAACCTTTCTTCCGGTCAAGATAAAGGTGGTTCAATATCTCATTTTGTCCATTATTGATTATGCTGATGTGTATTATTCTGATCTTAATGAGGTATTCCTAGGAATGCTAATACGTCTCGTCAAGAACTGTATCCGTTTTGTCTTTTGTCTTCGCAAGTTTGATCAGATTTCCTGATTCCGCTCTCAGCGGAAACGCGAAACCTCCGCTCTCAGCGAAGATACGTAAGGATGCTTAGTACAGGTTTTTCGATTTTATTCGACAATCACTATACGAATTATTTGAAACGTAATTTTCAGTTCATGTGTGACATTTGCTACAGCTACTACAATAGTCAGTTTATTTTTTTTATCGGAGATTTGCTTTGTTTATAGCAATTTACTGTTCGAGTTTCGTATTTTCATCGTTTACTTTCCAAGCTATCCTATGGAATAACTGCCTTGAAGAGTTAAACAACTTGTCACCAAACAAACATTTTAATTTTTAAACGAATGTTAAATGAATTCAAAGTCATCACTACAGTTATTTATATTTTCGTTTAATCAGCATATTATGTATCTTATATTGAATTGTGTTATATTTATACACTAGCTTTGTGCTGAAATTATCAAAATAGATCACTTTTAGAGTCACTTCGGTGTCTGGTCTCTATGCTTGTTTGACATATTGGTTTTTTTTTAAATTTTAGAGACTTTTTTACGTGGTAGAGCCACGCTGTAGCTATGTATATTATGATTGTAGCATGAATGGGTCGACTCAACTGGGGTAGGGCCACGCTCTCACAGAATACCAGCGTAAAATAGCAGCTTAACCCTTTCGTTGTCTTACTATGTTTCATATGGTTAGTGTAGATCACCGGAAACCCTATTTACTGAAAACGACGCATTCTATCTTTGTTTTCAGCGGTAACAACGCACATGGATTAGATATCTATGGGACACAGTATCCATTTATCAGTTGGACTGTGTGCTCGTTTATTATCTTTTATTAACTAATAATGTACGAATATAGGACAATCTAGTACAATTATATGTAAGACTTAAACTATTTAACGTTCGTTTATACTTTCATTGAAAGTAAAGACTTTAGAAATGAGATGGGGGGTGACTCGAACTTTAGGCCTAGTCAGTTTGAATAGCCTATCGTGGATGTCATGGGGGTCATGGTTGAATAAAGACAAAGAGTTCTCATTACACTCCTAGGGGGTCAAATGGTTAAAAAAAAATGGGGGGGTAGCTCCAACTTTAGTCATAGTCAGTTTGAATAGGCTATCATGTAGAGGATGTTATGGGCGTCATGGTTTAATAGGAGCAAAAAGTTCTCATTATACCCAATATATATAAATGGCCAAAAAGGAAAAAAAATTGAAATTCTTATTTCGGCTATAACACCGCCTCCTTCGGAGGTTCTTACACAGTCTTTACTTCCCGCATCCCACTAGTTTCTTATTATACTAATATTATATCACATTGGATTTTTATTTGAAATATAATTATTTAATTACATTTTTCTTTCAGGTAATTGAAGCAAATAGTGTCGTCGACTGTCAGTAGTAATAAAAATTACAAAATACTTTTTTATAATTGTACGTCATTCTATTATAAGTAGGAAATTAAAGTAATAAACAAATACTCAGGAACTGGGAACTGGAAAACAGACCTAAAAGACTGTTTACCTATGTAACTTTTGATATTATTTATGTTTTCGGTAGCTTAAGCATATATTTACTTAAACTTACTTACTACTACTTACCAGGCTTAAACGGTTAAGTATAGCTTGAAACTGATATTAAAACTGTCTATTAGTGTTGTGAAAAAAGTTGTGTTAAAAAATCCTGATACTGTATACTTACATATTTATTTATTTATTATAAAAAGAATATCAATTATTCCGTCGGGGTCGTATGTACACCGATATTTATCTACCAAAATCATATCAATTGATGTTATATCAATGTTAACCGTTAAAATACAATTCTTTATTCATTAGTGACCCTTGATGAGCGGTCTTGGAGAAAATTGAAAGACTTGTAGAGAAATAATTTGTACATTGATCACTGATCACGGACACATTGGTCACTTAGCAAGGTCCGTGACAATGTTGACTAAAGTTTTAAGAATTAATATTTTTATATATTTTACAAATTATTATAACATAATTTGGAGAAGTATATATTATATAAAATTATTATAAAAATTTTAATGTAAGTTCTGGGACGAATTAATATAGTTTTTTATAAAAATTTATACCATGTTTAATAATGATTATTATACAATAACAAACTTGAAATATAATATATTTATATACAATTTATGTTATTTATGATAGTTAGTAGTTAGTAGTAGTTAGTGAAATCAATTTTTCCATAAATGTGTTTCATTATAAGTGTGTTTTATTTCTTTAAATATTTTAAAGTATAGTGTCCTTCGAGATTTATAATATTCGCCATCAAAAAACCTACACTTGTGGGAGAAATAACACTATCTTTATGTCTACCCAAACCTGGGCAACAGCCATCGCTGTTTTCTCAGATTTCGAAAGTGCTCAGAGCAATTGTTTGCATTAATTCCAGCAGTAATATTCCACCAATGCACCTCGCGCCAAAACTCACGATAACATCCATATCACCTGAATGTTTGGCGGTCCACCGTTGTGCACTTAACTAGGAATTTTCTTTCTCGCACGACTTCTTTGTGGAATTGTTTACCCTTGGCGATTGTTCCAAGACGATACGACTTAGAAACCTTCAAGAAAGAAGCTTACTCTCTTTTAAATGCCGGCAACGCACCTGTAATTCCCTGGTGTTGCAGTTGTTCATGGGTGGCGGTCGACACTCACCATCAGGTTAGCCGCATGCTTGTTTGCCTTCTCTTCTATAAAAAGGGTTTCTTCATGATGTTTCTTGACCGCCGAGTACGCGGTTAATCAGCACTTATTGCAATAAACAATTTCATTGGTGCTGCTGGGGAATTACTGTCCTACGCATTTAATAGATGATTGAGTTAGTGATAATCAATTACACACACACACAACACACACGCACGCACGCACGCACGCACGCACGCACGCACGCACGCACGCACGCACGCACACACGCACGCACGCACGCACGCACGCAGGCACGCACGCACGCACGGCCGCACGCACGCACGCACGCACGCACGCACGCACGCACACAAACACGCTCGCACGCACGCACGCACGCACGCACGCACGCACGCACGCACGCACGCACGCACGTACGCACGCACGCACGCACCCACGCACGCACGCACGCTCGCACGCACGCACGCACGCACGCACGCACCCACGCACGCACGCACGCACGCACGCACGCATGCACGCACGCACGCACGCACGCACGCACGCACGTTCTTATTTATAAAACTGAAGTGAACTTCCAGTCCACCTACTGCTAGTGCAGTACATAGGCAGCTGCAGCGAACTTCAAACAAAGATCGCTTCATATGCGTTGTCACCTCATAGGGCTAAGTTAGAATGTCTAATAATAGCCCATAATTATATGACTCTCTTTATTAAACATGTGTCATTCATTCATTCAAGTATGGAATCGTCTTACACACCAGGTCATTCGAGTCGATCATTTAAATGGATCATTTCGATTTTCAGTATGCCGTGATCTGTGAGACCCGCTCGATTACTCTTTGGCCGTAGGTCCTGTCAATCGTTTGATAATTGCAATCATCAATACTTTGAAGCGACCCGGGTCAAATGAACGAATCATGTCTACTCTATATTCTGCAGACCGGAACACTATAGTGCACGTAATATTGCTTTGCGGCAGGAATAAGTAAGTAGGTGGTACCTAATTAGATAGTCCTTTAGTAGGAAGAAAAGGACTCCTAGCCACATATACGTTTTCAAGATTCCAAGGTTTTGTAGCATTAATTCGTATTTTACAATCATATTGAACATATAAATGATATAAAAAGCACATTGCCAGCAAGATACATGATTGTTGGACTTATTAATATATTTTTTAAATCGATTTATTGCTATTTTGTCATAAAAAAGTGGTTTTAGTGGCTTATGGCGTAGATTTATCAAGTCTGCATGGAGGGGTAAACACGATAACTTTTGAAAATATCAATTGTTTAACTCAATCTATTTTTAAATCTCTTCATCTATCACGTGGAAAGCCATGAAATATAAAGGCAGTTTAATTTTGTTTTGTAACACTCTTTAGCGAAAGAAAGATCGTTTCAATGTCAGTCGCATTACCCATTATTAGACATTATGCTATGGAAATAACGAAAATAAACTAATCTAGCTGTTTCAACACAAGTAAGGCCTCTGAACACGTAGTACCTATTTACGACGGAACTTCAGTATAAGTAAAACTTGACTGCCTCGTTGGTCTGGTGGTCGTAAATGCGATTGCTGATCAGAGGTCCTGGGTTCAAATTCCGGGTCAGGGCAAATATCGAAGTCAAAGAATGCGCGTTGTTTTCACCCCTGTGCCTCGGGAAGCACGTAAAGCTGTAGGTCCTGCGCTGTGCTCTACAGTTGTGTCAGATTACCGTCCCTTCGGATCTTCATCATGATCATGTAATCCCGTCTTGCTCTAAGGCTGTATGGTCTAAGACCTTTGCCGACCTTAGTTAGCAAATCGTAATAACAACAATCCATCTTTGGTCATGGCGTCACATTCCTTTTGTACACAGACTATAGTGCCACCAACTTATCTGTTCAGTTGACAGAGTCGCTAGTGGAGTGCTTACTATTGCCATTTAAGAAATTTACCGAGGAAATAGGTGACTACATATTCATTACACATAATATAAAATAAAACAAATTTCGTGTTAATATATATATATATATATATATATATATATATATATATAAATTATATACATATATAAATTATATATATATATATATATATATATAATTTATATTTTATAAAAATAATTGTGGTCGTGGTCTCGGAGTTCAAGCGGTCGAACTCCAGGAATTCCTGTTTTGAAAGATGTACCCGCGTTAGATACTGGTTCCAATAATTCATCTTCTGAGTCACTGGAATCGGTTTCGCTATCGCTCTGACACTCTATAATAAAGGGTTCATCTAAATACGCGTCTTTTAGTCTGTATTCATTTTCAATTTTTTTCACATGATTGCATATGTTTTTCCACTGCACCGGTGTAATTTTATTAAATGCATCTTCAATTAATTGGGGCATTAGAACATTAGATTTTCCAACATTTTTGTCTGCTATGTTCCTTTTCATAGAGCTCCATATCATTTCAATTGCATTCAAGTCGCAATGATAAGGCGGCAATCTAAGAATAGCATGGCCATGACTTTTCATCAGGTTATCAATTTCGTATTCCGGAGCAGGTTTATTTCTCTTTATTAATTCATAAAGCTGAGGTTTTGTCATTTGTTCATTGAAACTTACATTGTTTTTTTCAAGCCACTTCTGCATATCAGCCTTACTGTGGTTTGAATTAGGACACCTATTTACGCAAATACAGGGTGGCCCATAAGTCCCTTGAAATGTAAAAAAATAATTAAAAAAAAAACTAATGACATTATGAAAAAGGTTTTTATTTTGTCATAATCCTTATAAAATGGGAATTATTTTTTGAAAATTACATCATCTAAATGTAATCCGTTACGATCGCGGCACTCCTGTAAGCGACGTTTAAAATTATCCATCACTGCGTGGCAAGTAAGCTCTGTAATGTTTGCCATTTCTCTTTGGATATTTTCTTTCAGGACGTCAATTGTCCGCGGGTTGGTTTCGTACACTTTAGTCTTAAGATAACCCCATAAGAAAAAGTCCATTGGGGTCAGATCTGGACTACGTGGTGGCCAAGGAATATCTCCTCTTCGAGAGATCACTTTATTAGGGAAAAGTTGACGGACGACCGGCATAGCGACGTTAGAGGTATGGGCAGTTGCTCCATCTTGTTGAAACCAGGTCCGCGTATTGAAGCCTGGAAAATTCTGCAACTCTGGTGTAAAAAAGTCCTGGATCATAGCTACATACCGTTGTGAAGTAACAGTAAGCGCGCGGCCTCTGCCGTCCTCAAAAAAGTAAGGGCCTATAATGCCATGCGCTGACATAGCCGTCCAAAATGTCACTTTAGGGCTTTTGATGTTTGCGATTTGGATTTTCGCAACTCCAGTAGCGACAATTTTGCTTATTGACATGGCCGTTGATGTGAAAGTGAGCCTCATCAGAGAATAACACGTTATTAAACGAAGTAAAGCGGTTCAACATTTCATTTGCGAAATTTAGTCTGTGGATAGTGTCAGTATCTTTTAATTCCTGTACTAACTGAATCTTGTACGGGTGAAGATGTAAATCTTTCTTTAAAATTCGCTGTAACGATGTTCTGGATAAGTTTAATGCACTGGAACGCTTACGAGTAGACTGGGTAGGATTTTCACGAATTGAGTGTTTCACTACATCGATGTTTTCTTCCGTCCGTGATGTCCTTGGTCGACCTGACCGTTGTTTATCCAACGTCGAACCACTCTCTTCGAACTTAATAACCCAGTTCTTAATCGTTTGAACACTTGGAATGTCTTTAAAGTTGCGTAAATTCTGATTTTCTCGAAATTTACGCCGCGCAATGGTAGCCGAATCATTGTTTCGATAAAACTCGCGCACACAAAATGCACGGTCCGCACCGGTGAAACGCTCCATGGCGACTGAATTCCCAGAAACCGTCGGTACTCCCCCCGCACCGCGCGCGCCACTCATGCGCGCCTTTTGTATTTTATTCGAAATTTACATTTCTAACGACTTATGGGCCACCTGGTACTATGGTATGGCGCATTATCCATTACAATGAGCGAAGGTTCATGCAGATTAGGTAGTAATTTTTCATATACCCATTTTTTGAAATTAATGCTATTCATTTCATCATGGTAGTCCCCATATTTTGTATTTGATTTAAATACGAGAAGGGCATTCTCCACAAAACCTTTTTCTCCACCTGCATGGATTATGATCCACCTATTACCTTTCGAAACAGGTTCCAAATCACCATCTTCTTCAGGACCTTGCCAACATTTCCCAGTTGAGTGAGACGAGTGAATGTAAGTTTCGTCTAAATAAATAACAGGTCTTTTTTCACCACGCTCATTTTCTTTAATTTTTTGTAGGTTTGCTCTCCATGCAACTACGTCGTTACGTTCGCACAACACTTTTCTATTTGATTTCGTTTTCTTATAACGAAATCCTATTTTGTGAAGCAATTTTCGAAGAGTTTCACGTTCTCCTTTGAAATCAATATCTTCCTTTAAAATACTCAGTAATTTGGGTATGGTAGGGATTTCTTTTTTCACTGAATAAAATTCGTGAATTTTTCTTCTTATAACACCAATGTCAAAATTATCAACTTCTTGCTTCCCGGTTTTTCTTTGCCTTTTTTTGCCAGGGGTAGAAATTTTAGAATTGGATTCTTCAGCGTGTTTCTCTTCATTTACAAGTTTGTGTACAAATCGCTCAGAAACACCTGTAACGAAACGACAAATAATTATTGTATAGGTAAAATTAAATAAATGTAAGCCCGTGTATATGCCGTCACTAAAGCTACTTCACAGACCACAAACTACAAAGCTAGGTACTTTAGACGAATTACAGTAAATTGAGATAATTTTTTACTATGTTTTACAAGTACATTATTTGGTGATTTTAATTTTCCATATCTGGCAATACTAACCAGTCGCGGCAGCAACGCGCTCATACAGCTTTTCAAATGGTATAGTTGGGGCTTGTACACGTTTCTCTTCTTTCATAAAAGATAAAACTTTTAGGATAATCTGTCGCGCATCACTTTTAAGAGCTTTAGGCATTTTAATTGCACTTTTTAAAAACATTCACCTGATAGCTCAGAATAAATAATAACTGACAGCGAAATGTCATTTACAAAATGGCGGCATTAGTTCCAATTTTGTCCACCTGAACAGATAAGTTGGTGGCACTGTAATATGATACTTATGCATCTTTTGTTATAGTTAGAACTTCCAAGTAACAAATGTGAAAAGTGAAGAAAATCATTATATTAATTTATCTAATTGAAATAATCTTTTATAGCTTTCGATACGTTGCAACCATCTCGCTTACATCAGATGTAAAATACTCAGCGGGCAGCAGCGTCAACGCGGGATACTACGAGTACGATAGTCAATACGAAATCAATACCTTCTTCAACCGGAGAAGCCTATTTCTTGCAGTAGACATTTTTTGACATTCGGTTTGGTCTGAAGGGATTCCATCTTAGTTCTCAGAGGTGACAACGCATTTTGTAGCCTTCTTCGTTTGATATTGGTTGCAGATGTCTATGGACTGCAGTAAACACTTAACATCAGATGAACTGTAAGCTCCGGTTACTTAAATTTTTTTTTTATAGAATAGGGGGCAAACGAGCTTGCGGCTCACCTGATGGTAAGTGACTACCGCCGCCCATGAACAACCGTAACACCAGGGGAATTGCAGATGCGTTGCCGGCCTTTTAGAAAGGTGTAAGCTCTTTTCTTGAAGGTTCCTAAGTCGTATCGGTTCGGAAAATTCGCTGGTGGTAATTGATTCCACAAAGAAGTTGTGCGAGGGAGAAAACTTCTTCTAAATCGCACAGTGGTGGACCGCCAATCATCCAGATGGTACGAATGGTAACGCGAGTTTTGTCGCGACGTGCGATGGTGAAATTGAGCGGCTGGAATTAGTCCGAATTTTATATATAAAAAAAAAACTTTTAATACTGTATAAAAATTCAGCGACGGTAAACATTAATAAATAAAAAAATGAATAAATAAATTGCACAGATTATTTTTTATTATAAATTCACATTTTGTTTTTGTTTTAACCTACAAATTCATATTGTTATTCAAATACATCCGAGCTAATCTGGGGTCCATTTTGTCCCAAGGTAGGAATACTTTCAGGCCATCAGCTAAGGCCGTCGATTCAATACCTCGTCTGCTACAAGAGACGTTACAGATGAAGTCACAAGTGAGGGTTTTAGGGTTGAAATGTAGTCCTTCGGAGCAAACGACTAAAACAGCTGTCGATCCGTCACAACGCCAGAATTTGTCACAGTCCTTTTCATGGGGCCAGGGGAGGACATTGCAGCCAGCTTCACATTTATTTTTGCTCCCTCCATCCCCTCCACCTCCACCTCCACTCCCTCCATCTCCACCACCTCCTCCGCCGCTACCACCACCTCCTCCGCCGCTACCCCCATCTCCACCACTTCCTCCGCCACTACCCCCATCTCCACCACCTCCTCCGCCGCTACCTCCATCTCCACCGCCTCCACCGCCGCTACCCCCATCTCCACCACCTCCTCCGCCGCTACCCCCATCTCCACCACTTCCTCCGCCACTACCCCCATCTCCGCCACCTCCTCCGCCGCTACCTCCACTGGTAGCACAACCGGCATTTTGAGGCCAGTCGCAGACCTACAATCATAAGAATAAGAATCATCATCATTACAGCCCTTCACATGTCCACTCTTGAACATAGGCCCCAAGGAATGCCACAAAGCGGATAAGTATAAGAGTGAGTAATTTATAAATAATTTAGTAATTTATTTTTTTACAATTTTCAAACGTCGTTAACTCTTTGTTATTAGGGCGGGGATTTCCTCCCTTCTCCCCTGCATACATATTATTTGTCCGATACGAAGTAAGCGTGCAACATTCGGTGGACAAGTAGTTCCTTTATTTAAAATGTCGATAAAAATATTCTCAATAAAAATATTTTTTTTTTAAATTCATTCGATTAACAATTTAATTGAGTATTTCATGTATGCTCATATTTTTACTCACTATCCTCTTCCATTCTTGATTAATAATTTAAGTGTAAACGCGTTATCACGCTTGAGGGCTAAGAAATATAACTCATAACCAGTAAAAATGGTCTCCGGTTCACTAAACTGGAGTGAAAAGGCATTTTTAGACTAACGTGTCCTATAGAACACTATCCACCAAAAACAAAAAAGGTACTTAATGTCGGGCTAGATGCTTATTCTCAACATCAAAGCAAGCACAAGACCCGTTGTGCAAGACATATTACTTCCATATTGGGGCTAGTGCTGCGTAATGCCACCTAGCAGCATTGAATTCAATGGAAAGGCGTGCCAAGAGGTTTCTTTGTGACGTTAATTTGATTAAAGTCAATTTTACCAGTTTACAGGCACATAATTAAAAATTTTGTACAGCAAACTTCAATATAAGTTATTTAAGAATAACTCAAAAACTATTGCTCTGACCTTGATCAAATTCATACAGGACCATACGAGAACTATTAGCTTCTATATAAAAAATATCATCGAAATCGGTTCACACATAAAAAAACATACAGTCGAATTGAGTACCGTCTCCTTTTTGGAAGTCGGCAGAAAATAGCCTTTCTTTTGTTGTTTTATAAAAGAAAATATTTCTGAGAGTGGGCGTAGGAATTGCATGATCGCTATCCCTCCTACTTATGTGTTTTGGTGTTGGAAACTTAGGACAACCACAATAGGTGGTAGAATTCTTTTTGACCTATGAGTCGGTCTGGATAGGTACCATCCTATCACCTATTTCGTGGTCTTGCTGTGGTCTGATCTGAAGACTATAGGGAGCCAGTATAGTTGCAGACTGAGACGCATTCCATCTTATTTCTCAAGGGTACAACACAATTGTAACCTCATTTGTATAAAGCTTTTTTTATAGGATAGTGTGACAAACGGGCACACAGTCCACCTGATGGTAAGTGGTTGTTGCGGCCCATAGACATCTACATCTATCCTCGTTTGCGAATCAAAACGCAGATGCATTGTCACCCGTGAGTACTAAGATGGAATACCTCTTTTCCAGTAAAAAGAGTCGCCGGTTCTCTACACTCACCATACGAAACACAGCAGTGTTAAGCTGCTATTTTACACGCTGGTATTCTGTGAGAGCGTGGTCCTTCCCCGGTCGAGCCGACCCATTTGTGCTACAACTATACTATTAATATAGCTGCAGCATGGCTCTACCACGTAAGCTGGCTGCAGGTGCCTACTCCTCTCTGAACAGTAGCCACTTAACATCAGGTGAACTGTTACTTCGTTTGCCAATTCGTTTGAATTTAAAAAAAAACCAGATGCATTCCAACCAAGCGGTTTGTTTCGTCGTTTGTAATGCGTACAGCAATGTAGTGGAATAATTTGTCACTATGTGTCTTTATATCCGATTAAAGTATCAGTGCTTTCAAGACAATTGTGAAAAGGCTTTTGTTATGATTTTTTTAGCTTTAGGTAATTAATGTCCGTCCGTGAAGTATAGCAGCAGTTAGCTGAAATAGGGACCTAATTTGACTTTACACAAATTCTTCAAAAATTTGATAAAACTTAAAAATAATAAAGTCGTACGTATTTATATTGTCTATTTACCTGCAGTAATGGGTTAAAATGCGTGCCAGGTGCACATGTACGTTCCACTTTCTCTCCAAATACGCAATAGTAGAACTTGTCACAATCTTTTTCGTGTGGGAGAAGTTTGTGAATGTCGAAATCGCTTGGACATCCGTTTGGAAGTAACCCCCCTTCACCGGTGTCATTTTCGCCTCCACCTCCACCAGTGCCACAATCGCCACTGCCTTCACCGCAACTACCCCCACCTCCGCTTCCCCCTCCTCCACTTCCTCCTCCTCCGCTTCCCCCTCCTCCGCTGCCACCTCCACCGCTTCCACCTCCGCAGCTTCCTCCTCCACCGCTGCCTCCTCCACCGCTACCTCCTCCACCACTACCCCCTCCGCAGCTTCCTCCTCCACCGCTACCACCTCCTCCGTTCCCCCCGTCTCCTCCGCCACTACTTCCATTATCACCACCGTTGTTGGCACAACCAGCATTTTCGGGCCAATCACATACCTGGGAAATAATTTTTTTAATGTTTTACAATTATACATTACATGTGTGGTATAACTTTAAATATGAGTTTATCACAACATTATGCATCGATTTTTTTTTTGTTTAGCAGTTAGTAAACGTGACTGCAGTCTTAACTTCCTTATTCAATTAATTGTAGAATGAATGAATAAATGCATCTATTTATTCTCTCTTCACAATAGGTAAACTTAGTGCTATGTTTTTTTTTATAGGATCGAGTGACAAACGAGCACACAGTCCACCTGATGGTAAGTGGTTGCTGTGGCCCATAGACATCTACATTTATCTTCAATAAAGAATCAAAAAGCAAATGCGTTGTCACTCGTGAGGACTAAGATGTAATGCCTCTTTTCCAGTAAAAAGGGTCTCCGGTTCTCTACACTCACCATACGAAACACAGCAGCATTAAGCTGCTATTTTACGCTGGTATTCTGTGAGACCCTTTTTACTGGAAAAGAGGCATTATTAAAGAAGTGCAAGTCTGGTACCTAACTGGTAGAGACTGGTCCCTGATGTAGGCTTACAAACCTTTATTACAGGTCACCAGGGCCCCCCACAGATAGAGCCACAATCTGATAAATACATATCAAAAACATAAAGATTATGATAAGACAAGCTCAGTAAGACTACTCACATATCGCACTGTATTTAATTTTCGGTTTTAGTTGTAACTTAACGATTTCCGTATGTTACTCGTAAGATATCCTGATGACGTATACGGTCCATACCAACGTAATCGTTATCAGGTTAAATAGTGTTTAGCATACAATCTATATCTACCACTGCCATGTTTCTGTCTTTTTTTAAAATGAATTATTGTAAATTAATAATTTTAAATAATAGGACCACTATTACAGTAAATATTATTGCCCAGTACTTTCATTCATTTATTGCAGCCCTTCACAAGTCCACTGCTGAGCATAGGCCTCCCACAAGGAATGCCACAAAGCACCAGTCGCCACGAATTTGTTGTCTACGTCACGCATTCGAACCAAACGGTTTGTTTTGTCGTTCGTAATGCGTACAGCAATGTAGTAGAATAATCTGTCAGCATCTGTCTTTCCAAGCCTGAATAGGCTGATTTTTTTAGCTTTAGGAATTGGTGTCCGTTCGTGAAGTCTATATTGGACTCTATTTAAAAATCAACAGCAGCTGTTAGCTGAAATAGGTTTCTAATTTCACTTAACACAAATTCTCTGATATTTTTTTATCTCGCGTCATATGTTTTTTTCCTGGCGATCTCAAATAAAGTTTTCTTTTTTTCTAAGCTCAGTCATTGCGGTTTACCATCTACGACTACTTCACCGCTTAATATTAGTTGGGATAGTAGTCTAGCACTGATTGATAAAATTTAAAAATAATAAAGTCGTACGTATTTATATCGTCTATTTACCTGCAGCAATGGGTTAAAATGCGTGCCAGGTGCACATGTACGTTCCACTTTCTCTCCAAATACGCAGTAGTAGAACTTGTCGCAATCTTTTTCGTGTGGGAGAAGTTTGTGAATGTCAAAGTCGCTTGGACATCCGTTTGGAAGCAACCCTCCTTCACCGGTGTCATTTTCGCCTCCACCTCCACCAGTGCCACAATCGCCACTGCCTTCACCGCAGCTACCTCCACCTCCGCTTCCTCCTCCTCCACTTCCTCCTCCTCCGCTCCCCCCTCCTCCGCCACCACTTCCACCTCCGCAGCTTCCTCCTCCACCGCTACCTCCTTCACCACTACCTCCTCCGCAGCTTCCTCCTCCACCGCTACCACCTCCTCCGTTCCCTCCGTCTCCTCCGCCACTACTTCCATTATCACCACCGTTGTTGGCACATCCAGCATTTTCGGGCCAGTCGCATACCTGGGAGATTTATTTATGTTTTATAATTATACATTTTATGTACGGTATACCTTTAAATAGGAGTTCATCATAATTTAACATCATGTATCGATTTTTTTTTGTTTAGCAGTTTGTAATCTGATTTCCCAAAATTGAGTGACTTACAAGTATAGTTGGTAAGTAGCGTAGAATAGAATAGACTAGAAAATGTTAAATAAATAAATATCATTTTATTGCCACAAAACATATTTACATATAAACTAAGTACTTAATCTTAATTAAATGTAGGCAATCGAAGGTGACTCAGCTTTTGCTTACATGGGACTAAGATCCCATGAAGCGCTGGTTTTCAGGCACTCCTTCTTCCCTGATTTGTTAAATGGGTGTCATGAGAATTGCTAGTACCCCAATCACCTCTACCAATCACTCATCTAATGTGTTTATTCAATTCCTTGCGAAATACCTTTGTCTTGGGAAGGAGTAGCAAGAAAACCGGCGGTCTCATTTTTTAAACATAAAATCTTACAATAACAGTATAATTTATTTATTTTCTAGCGATCCGCTCCGGCTTCGCTTGGATAGGCTATATTAATAACAATATTTTCGGATGAGATATAGCCTACATGTTCTATATTCGTTTCTAAAGTTTCATCAAAATTGGTTCAGCTATTTCGAAGATTAGTCCAGACAGACAGTCATACAAAAATTAGAAAAATGGTTATTTATTGTCTTAATAGCATGAAATTTTTGTACGTGGTAGACCCATGCTGCAGCTATATTAGTAGTATAGTAGTAGTAGTATAGTAGTATAGTGGTAGAGCCACGTGGCGGCTTTTGCTGTCGCACGGATGGGCCGGCTCGAACCGGGGTGGTACCACGACCTCACAGAATACCAGCGTGAAGTAGAGGTTTACCTCTGCGTTTCGCTTGGTGAGTGCAGGTGGCCGGAGGCCTTTTTTACTGGAAATGAGGCATTCCATCTTAGTCCTCACGGAAGACAACGCATCTGCATTTCGATTTGTAATAGAGGATAGATGTAGATGTCTATGGGCCGCAGCAACCACTTACCATCAGGTGGACTGTGTGCTCGTTTGTCACCCTTATCCTATAAAAAAAAAAGTAGTACGAATGGGTCGGCTCGACCGGGAAAGGACCACGCTCTCACAGAATACCAGCTTAAAATAGCAGCTTAACGCTGCTGTGTTTCGTATGGTGAGTGTAGAGAAGCGGATACCCTTTTTACTGGAAAAGAGGCATTCCATCTTAGTCCTCACGGGTGACGACGCATTTGCATTTTGATTCTTTATTGAGGATAGATGTGGATGTCTATGGGTCACAACTAACACTTACCATCAGGTGGACTGAGTGCTCGTTTGTCACCCTATCCTATAAAAAAATGAAAATTCCCCTTTGATTTTAATAGAAGGCAGTTATTTTATCATTACAGACGGACTCTTCAATTGTATGTATATGTTTAGATATATTGGGAAGTTAGTTACCTGCAACGTTGGATTGAAGTGGGTATTCAAGGGGCACTCGCGTTCAACCTTTTCACCAAAAACGCAATAATAAAACTTGGAGCAATTTGTCTCATGCGGCAATAGCTTGTGGATGTCGAAATCTGCCGGACAACCGTTGGGTAAGTCCTCCCCGCCAGCCCCTCCACTTCCACCATCACCTCCACCAGAACCAGCGCACTCTACGTTTCGTGGCCAATCACATACCTGCAATATTTTTTTTAAATTGAAGTGAAAATGGAACTTACCATACCCATGGGTACCTGCTGACAACTTTAAATAAAAAAAGACTGCAGATACGTTGTCACCTCTAAAGACTAACATAGAATGCCTCACAGCTTGTGCACACACAACAGTGCAGATTTTTTCCTGGCGACCGAAAGGAGTAAGAGAGTGGATGAATTTTTTTTTATAGGAGAGGGGGCAAACGAGCAAGCGGCTCACCTGATGGTAAGTGACTACCGCCGCCTACGAACAGCAATCCTACCCAGGAAAGAAATCTTACCAATATGTTATAAATATTTATTTCTTCTCTATTATTTATTTAAACTTAAATATTTATTTATTCTCTTCAAATTATATCAGGTCAATTGACGACCCCGTGTAGTGGCGGTGTAAGAATATACACTATCCCATATCATCCCGTGGGTGCCGTAAGAGGCGACACAGGGAAACAAATCAGGAGATGGGCAGCAGCGTCTACATAATAAAGACTAAAACTAAAAAACTGCTGTCGCCAACGTGTTTGCCAGGCGTGGCAACTATGGCAAATATCCATATGAGGCAATCTATGCGTAGGCCTATGTTCAGCATAAATAAAAATTGAAAATAAAAATTCTTGTGGCTATAGTAAGATCCGATAGATAGTAGTAGTCTAGTAGTCAATTAATTAACAAACTCTATAATTATGGACCAAAATGAGTTATATTTACAATGTAACTCATTTTGGTCCATAATAGTCAGGTCATAAGTATTGTCACACAGTAAAAACTTTTCTTTTAGAATGCTGGCCACAAAAAAGTTTAATGAATTCGAGTTTCGAATTTTTCATGAAAATAAAACTGTATACTTTTTAGAATTTTACTCATTTTTAAATATGGAGTGGACGCTTAAAGAAGACCGTGTTGCAGTTATTGCATTGCATCGTTGCGGTTACGCGCCAATTCAAATTTTTGACAAATTGAAAAATTTGAATATAACCAAAAGATTCGTTTATCGTACCATCAAACGATACAATGAAGACTCTAGTGTAGATGGCAGGTCGAGAAGTGGTTGCCCTCGGTCTGTTAGGACTCCAGCAGTGATAAAAGCTGTGAAGGCGCGAATTCAAAGAAATCCCAAACGTAAGCAGAAACTGTTGGCCCTTCAGATGGGGTTAAGCAGAACCACGGTAAAAAGGGTATTAAATGAAGACTTAGGGCTTCGGGCATATCAAAGAAAAACAGGACATCGTTTGAATGCTCGTCTAATGGACCTGAGACTGAAGAGATGCCGCGCTTTGTTGAAGCGGTACGCGGGAAAAAAATATCGGGAAATTCTTTTTTCGGATGAAAAAAATTTTACCGCAGAAGAGAGCTACAACAAACAAAATGATAAGGTGTACGCACACAGTAGTGAAGAAGCGAGCAACCGTATTCCGCGTGTCCAACGAGGTTATTTTCCATCCTCGCTCATGGTATGGTTGGGAGTTTCTTATTGGGGCTTAACAGAGGTACATTTTTGTGAGAAAGGTGTAAAAACGAATGCAGTTGTTTATCAAAATACAGTCCTGACGAACCTTGTGGAACCTGTTTCTCATACCATGTTCAATAACAGGCACTGGGTATTCCGACAAGATTCGGTGGCAGCTCATAGAGCGAAGAGCACACAAGACTGGCTAGCGGCGCGTGAAATCGACTTCATCCGGCACGAAGACTGGCCCTCCTCCAGTCCAGATTTGAATCCGTTAGATTACAAAATATGGCAACACTTGGAGGAAAAGGCGTTCTTCTCAAGACATCCTTGATTAAGGCAGCCGCCGATATTGACATGGACCTCGTTCGTGCTGCGATAGACGACTGGCCGCGCAGATTGAAGGCCTGTATTCAAAATCACGGAGGTCATTTTGAATAAACTTTAGTGTCATAAGAATCTATGTTTTGTTAAGTTCATTTTGGTATATAAATGGTTACATAATGAATAAATTTGTTTCAATTATTTTATATTAAACATGTGACAAAATTTATGACCTATATATACTAGCTCGCCATTTAGCGGGATAAAAACTATCCTATCTCTCAAGTTGGACCAAAATGCACACAGTGTGCAAAATTTCATTGAAATCAGTTCAGTAGTTTAGGAGTCCATCGCGGACAAACAACGTGACACGTAATTTTTATATATAAAGATATATATACTAAGCCAACATATATATATGTTGGCTTAGTAGCGCAAAGAAAAGCACAAAATTTAGAACCGATAGGTCTGTAGCCGAGTGAATAACATTTTTTAACTTTCAATGTTTCGGAGTTATTTCGGAGGGAAATTCATCACGCCACCTACAGCAACTTGCAGAAAAAAGTCCGCCGGGCCAGTCAGTTTGATATGCTGACATTAATATGGTGACAAACAAGCACACTTACATTTACTAACGAGAATTAAACTGTAGATGCGTTCTATCTCTAAAACCTAAAATGGATCTCCACTAGTCTTCCACCAGCTTCGTGCTGCAGGCTATGTCGGTTATTCTGGTTCTACTGCGGATATCTTCATTACTTTATGGAGTACGTAACGCAGTGAAACTCCGAGCATAGCTCGCTGAGCCATTTGAAGCTTTTTTGATACATGAAGCTATGATGTACTCTTTAAAAGAGTACATCATAGCTTCACTATGATGTACTCTTTAAAAGAGTACATCATAGCTTCATGTATCATTACTGGCAAAACGCACTGCTTGCGAATCAAGAATTTAAGAAACTGCGTAACTGGAAGATATTTCGTAAATTCACAAGCACTGTCTAGTTGGGTTGGATCCGTCGATTACCGTCACCGTTACAGCCTATTAAAGTCACAGTAAACCTTATACAATAATAAACCGGCTGGTCCAGCAGATTTTGTTCTGCAAGTTCCTGTAGGTGGTGTGATGAATTTCACTCCGAATTAACTCCGAACCATCTAAAGTTTTACCGCAAGCTAATGAACGGTATGGCAGCGCATAAAATACGAACAATCAAACATAATTTTTTATATATTAGATGAGGAGGCTTTCTGCCACCCGTGAGGACTAAGATGGAATGCCTCGTATCCAGTAAAATGGGTCTCCGGTTCTCTACACTCACCATACGAAATATAGCAGCGTTAAGCTGCTATTATACGCTGGTATTCTGTAAGAGCATTTTTTTAAAAGAGAGGGGGCAAACGAGCATGCGGCTCACCTGATGGTAAGTGACTACCGCCGCCCAAGAACAACCGCAACACCAGGGGAATTGGAGATGCGTTGCCGGCCGGTAAAACTTTAACATATTTTCATTCAACATATTATAGAAAAATAGAAAATATTATATTCAACAGTAGCGGTCACCTTATCAGTTTTTCTCTAATCAGTCACTGCTGACTGAATTAACAATTTAGTGATGTGGTGATTAATATTATCTTACACTTAGTTGTTAATCCGATGATTTACAAGAAAAAAACACTTCCCTGAAACGATATTATCAAAATCATTGCGGATTTTTACACGCGGCCATAATTTATTCGAAGATAATATTTCAAAAGTTCCTCAACGTAGTGATAAAATACTATTTAGTCCTTAGAATAATTACATACATATGTATGAATTATTCTGAGATTTAGTACACTCGCTGTCATAGATGTATGACAGCGATCTTGTTAAGTAAATTGGAGTCGAGTGTGGAAAGAATTTTGTCTTACTTTATCTATTTAAGATGGAACACCTTACGTCCTGAAATTAAATTATAGTCTTTGATATAAGCCGTCTTATTACGAAAGTAAGTTCATCTATACATATATTCTATACAAATAAATATAATTGAAGCGTGTGTTTATAATGTTAAAATAACTGCAATGTACTCTACTGTAACTGAATGTGGTAGAGCCATGCTGCAGCTATATTAGTAGTATAGTTGTAGCACGAATGGGTCGGCTCACGTCACGTCGGACCACGCTCTCACAGAATACCAGCGTAAAATGGCAGCTTGACACTACTGTGTTTCGTATATAGTGGGTGTAGAGAACCGGAGACCCTTTTTACTGGAAAAAGGCATTTCATCTTAGTCCTCACGGGTAATGACGCATCTGCATTTTGATTCTTCATTGAGGATATATGTAGATGTCTATGGGTCACAGCAACCACTTACTATCAGGTGGACTGTGTGCTCGTTTGTTACCCGTATTCTATAAAAAAACAGTTTTTTACTAAATGCATATGTTATATATATATATATATATATATATATATATATATATATATATATATATCATCATCATCATTACAGCCCTTCACAAGTCCACTGGTGAACATAGGCCTCCCCCAAAGAATGCCACAAAACACGGTCCTGAGCCACCTGCATCCATCGACTTCCTGCATGTCTTACCAGGTCGTCACTCCATCTCGTGGGGGGACGCCCTACACTTCGCCTACCGGTACGAGGCTGCCACTCGAGAACCTTTCTTCCCCATCGGTTGTCGGTTCTTCGAGCTATATGGCCGGCCCACTGCCACTTCAGCTTACTAATCCGTTGGGCTATGTCGGTCACTCTGGTTCTACTGCGGATATCCTCATTCCTAAGTTTATCACGCAGAGAAACTCCGAGCATAGCCCTCTCCATAGCTCGCTGAGCGACCTTGAGCTTCCTCATACGGCCAGCAGTGAAGGACCACGTCTCAGTTCCGTAAGTCATCACTGGCAACACGCACTGGTTGTACAATTTCGTTTTAAGGTTTTGAGGTATGTCTGACAAGAAGATGTGTCGTAGCTTCCCGAACGCTGCCCAGCCGAGTTGAATCCGTCGATTGACCTCTCGGTCGAAGTTGGACTTACCCAGTCGGACTATTTGTCCCAGGTAAACATACTCGTCAACAACTTCGAGCTTAGTGTTCCCAACAACTACCGGCATAGGTGTGACATGGACATTAAACATGATCTTAGTTTTGTCCATGTTCATCTTAAGACCTATCCGTTGGGAAACACTATTGAGGTCATTGAGCATAGTGCTTAGGTCCTCCAGCGATTCTGCCATAAGGACTATATCGTCGGCAAGTGATGATGGTGAGTGATGTACTCGCCGTATATATATATATATATATACGGTACTAATAACAAAAAAAAAACAATTTTTATAATTTTTGTCTGTCTGTCTGTCTGTTTGTTCCAGCTAATCTCCGAATCGTCTGGACCGATTTTGGCGGGACTTTCACTGGCAGATTTCTGATGTTATAAGGAGTGACTCAGGATACTTTTATTTTAGAAAAAGAATTAGGGTACCGCGCAAAAAAAAATTAATACCCGGCTAGTTTTTAAATATAAAAATCAATTACTGTCCGTTAGTATCGCTAAAACTCAAAAACGGCTAGACCAATTATGATGAACGTTTTTTGTGTTTGTTTGAGTGGGTCTCTAGAAGGTTTAGATTCATTGTCGAGACCCAAAAATTAAAAGGCGAAGCCGGGGTGGATCACTAGTATATTATAAAAAAATTTCTTAAATTTAAACTAGATCTGTTTCAATAGAGTAAAATGTATTCGTAAAGCTCACTAATTTGCTTATATTAGGTATGTTATTACTCATACGTAAAATATAGAATATGACAACAAATTTTAAATTTCGTGAAGATTGTGGGACTCCTCTTTATACCCGCAACAAAAAATAAACCACGTTTTCTAATAAAACTGTGGGAGATTGTTTTTCATCTTCTAACATATAAAATTCTTGTGTCGCGGTGTTTGTTACCAAACTCCTCCGAAACGGCTGAACCGATTTGTATGAAATTTTGTGTGCATATCGGGTAGGTCTGAAAATCGGCCAACATCTATTTTTCAAACCCCTAAATAATAAGGGTGACCCACCTCTAAATATTTATTTTATTTTATTGAAAAAAAATATTTTTATTTTATTATGATTTAGCATTAAAAAATACATAAAACTTCAAATTTTCACCTTTCTACGATCAGCCCCTGTTTTTTAATCGCGATTTTTAAAACTAAAAAATTTTTCCTAGAAATAATGTATACAGCAAAACAACGTTTGCCAGGTCAGCTAGTCTATATATATATAAAATACAAAAAACGTCAACCTATGTCTGTAAAAGACTTTGAAACTATCCAACCGATCTATCCAACCGATGTGCCGCAAACCGGAAACCTTTTAGCAATAATGCGAAGATGGTTTTAGACTGTGATGCATTAGGCACGATATTAAAAAGTTGTAAAATGTATGTCTTTTATAGCACACGCCGAGTATCCGCTAGTATTAAATATGTAGAAACTGCGCGATGTAAATATACAATAATAAAAAAGGTTATTAACTATCATCAGTGTCGGTTTATCCCATCTTGTCTCCTGGATCTATCAAGATCTGGAGATATTCAAACAAGATATGGTGTGTTTCACTTCAGCTTAATAATGGACTATGTCAGCTACTCTTCTTGTTCTACGGATATTCTCGTGACGGGTTATACCATAACCATTTATCGGCGGTGTAATATATATCTACAGAGCAGTAAGAGGGGAAATGACGTCATATATCCCAATCCGCAGCTGGAGTAATGGGCTCCGGAGGAGAGCATATTAGGCCCTCTTTCATTTCCTGTGATTAAAGCCTAGGCGGCGGACATAGGTTTTGTCCGTCACCAAATACATAACGCCTCGAGGTGGCCCGTACGGTATTACCGCGCGGCCTCTTACGAACAAGGGGGAAAAGAACTCCAACGGTACCCTCAACAAGAAGGAGCTACCACCGTCAGGGTTGCAGTAGAATGGATGCAAAGGACGCAGAGATAAACACCCTTTAATTTTTGCCAGTAATCACTCGTAACCTGTTTATAGCTGCCGCGACAGACAGGTAACTATGAGGATTTCTTCTTAAAATTAGACCGTAGTAAAGTCAAGTTAAGTCCGACTAGGTAAGTCCAACTTCGACCGAGAGGTCAATCGACGGATTCAACTCGGCTGGGCAGCGTAAACTACGACACATCTTCTCGTTAGACAAACCTCAAAACCTGAAAACGAAATTGTACAACCAGTGCGTGTTGCCAGTGATTTGTCTGTCCTTTACTGCTGGCCGTATGAGGAAGCTCAAGGTCGCTCAGCGAGCTATGGAGGGGGCTATGCTCGGGGTGTCTCTGCGTGATAAACTTAGAAATGAGGATATCCGCAGTAGAACCAGAGTAACCGACATAGCCCAACGGATTAGTAAGCTGTAGTGGCAGTGGGCCGGCCATATAGCTCGAAGAACCGACAACCGATGGGGAAGAAAGGTTCTCGAGTGGCAGCCTCGTACCGGTAGGCGAAGCGTAGGGCAACCCCCCACTAGATGGAGTGACGACCTGGTGAGACATGCAGGAAGTCGAAGGATGCAGGTGGCTCAGGACCGTGCTTTGTGGCATTCCTTGGGGGAGGCCTATGTTCAGCAGTGGACTTGTGAAAGGCTAAAATGATGATGATGATGATGATGATGATTCAGAAATATTTCAACCCACAATAACATAAAGTTATTCAGATTTCAAAGATAAATGCATTTCTCTTGTGGCAAAAGCCCTATATATGATATGATGTATTTCGTTTTAGAGATAACTTTTTACGTGTTTACGTTTTTTTTAAAGTATTTTTTAGCTTAAGTTGAAAACAGTGCCCCTGGATCATTATTTTGTCCAGTTTGTGGTTTAGATGATTTTTGCCCAACACGCTCCAATATTTGTTTAATAATGTGATTTTTTTAAGAATTAAATGCTTAGCCTGGTGTGACATGACATTTAATTCTAAACTCATAAAAACTTTCCTAATGATAAATCTTCAAGATCATTACCAAATATATTTCGAATTTTATATAATTAATTATGATTTATTTGTTACCTCAAGTTTTGGGTTGAAGTATGTTCCTGGCGCACATTCTCTTTCCACTTTTTCCCCAAAAACGCATTGATAGAATTTGTTGCACTCAGTTTCATGTGGTAGAAGCTTGTGTTGATCAAAGTCGCTGGGACAGTCAGTAACCAATGGGTCTTCTGTGTCCATATCAGGATCACCACTACCTTCTCCTGAGTCAATATCTGGAGGATTGCCGTTGGTTGTACAGTTAACGTTTCTCGGCCAATCGCATACCTAAATTAATATAAATTATCAGTTATATTCTGCGTGATTGCCTCTTTTAAGGTAAAAGAAACTTTAACGGCATCTTTATCAGTGGTATTGGAATATTGAATTTAGTGGAAGTAAAAATTTTGTACAACCGACTTCAATATGAATAAAATAATTTATCGTTGATTTTTTTAAAACCGCTCTACCGATTTCTATAAAACTTAACTGGGACCACCTGGAAAGTATACCCTTGGAAACAAAAAAGAAGGATTTTCCAGCAACGTCAGAGGTGATCTAAACTATATATTATCCGAAAAACTAGGAGATTTTTCTATGAAATATAAGGCTGCAACAGTACATCTTACTATAACGTTGAATGATATGCTAACTTTAACGGCATCTTTATCAGTGGTATTAGAATATTGGATTTAGTGGAATTAGGCACAAGTGGTTAAATTAAATGATCGCCGTATGCGTGGAAAAGAATCTTGTTGTGACGAACACTTTGTTTCGTCATAAGAAGATTCACACGTATACATGGGAAAGAGGTGATGATAGAAGTATGATAGATTTCATAATTGTTGATGAAAGAATGAGGAGCGCGGTGGTAGATACAAGGGTTTACCGGGGCTCTAACGTAGGGACGGATCATTACTTGGTCTTATGCCGAATTAATGGTCTTTTCAGACGTTGGAGGCATCGGACATCTGTGTCTACCACAGCGTTACAGCGTATAAAAATAGAGAGGCTACAAGATGAAGGTGTGAAAGAGAAGTTCAAATGTAGATTGAGAGAAAATATAAGTGGTATGGCTGAATTGTGTATGAATGATTTAGACTTGGAGACTGTGTGGTATAATGTCAAGAAAGGTTTAGTGGATGCAGCTACCGAAGTATGTGGTGTAAGCAAGAGAACAGATGAAAGGAAAAATAACACGTTATGGTGGGATGATGAGGTACGGATGGAAGTTGAAGCAAAGAAGAAAGCATGGCTAGATTTACTAGCAACCAAGGCTAGTAATTCTAGCAGTATGAATGATGATATTGAAAGGAAAAAGGCGGTTTTTAGACACCTAAATAAGAGAGTAAAAGAAGTAGTTGAAAGGAAAAAGCAAGAAAGAACGGATAAGAATGATAGAAGAATATCGGATAACTTCCAGGAAAACATTAAAATGTTCTGGAAACTCGTAAGAACTACCAGGGGACATTCACAACAGCCTAGAATGAATGCTATACGAGACCAGAATGGCTGTATTCTGAATGACGAAGTTTTGAGTTTAAGGAGATGGAAGGAATACTTTGAAAGCGTGTTTATGAGTGATGAGACGTTTGAATTAAATGAAATAGAAATTCCGAAAGAAGAGGAAATAGATAGAGATATAAGTATAGATGAAATAATGAAAGCAATGAAAAGTATGAAAGTAGGTAAGGCAGCTGGTTATGATAGAGTATCTCTCGAAATGCTAAGGGCTGGAGAAGGAGTGGTGGCAGACCTGCTGTACACCTTGTTTAATTTATGTTGGGAACTTAAGCGGGTACCGGGAGACTGGTGCAAAGCCGTGATAGTCCCAATATATAAGGGAAAAGGATCACAGCAGGACTGTAAAAACTACCGTGGTATCAGCCTTCTTAGCATTGTGGGAAAACTGTATGCTAAGGTACTAATTGAAAGAGTTATGAAAGAAACTGACGGAAAAATTTGGGATGTGCAAGCGGGATTTAGAAAGGGAATGGGATGTACGGATCAGGTCTTTTCCATGCGCATGATCGCCGAGAAGTTTTTGGCCAAAAACCAAAAAGTTTTTTGTGCGTTCATGGACTTGGAGAAGGCTTATGACAGAGTGGACAGGGATGTGTTATGGCAAACACTGAACTCATTTGGGTTGAGCGCTGGTCTGATACAGGCATTGAAGTCTCTATATAGGGACTCTAGTGCTTGTGTCAGGATCAACGGGGCCTACTCGGACTGGTTTGACATCCATAAAGGTGTCAGACAGGGCTGTGTGGCTTCCCCGTGGTTGTTCAACCTGTTTATGGACAGTTGTTTGGAAAATTTGAAAGTAGAAGAATGCGGGTTAAGAATGGGTGAGTTAACCGTCAAATGCCTTTTGTACGCCGATGATCAAGTCATACTTGCGTCGTCGGCAGCCGAGTTGCAAATGATGGTTACATTAATGAACAGGACATTAAAAGAAAAGGGAATGAAAGTGAACGCAAGTAAGACGAAAGTTATGGTTTTTGAAAGAGAAGAAAGTAAAACGATATGTGAAATAAGAATAGAAGGGGAGTTGGTAGAGCAAGTAGATGAGTTTGTATATTTGGGATGTGTGTTTAGCAGGGATGGTAGATATGATAAGGATATAGAACGACGAGTGAATGCAGGAAATAGAGTGAATGGGGCTCTACACTCTATTGTGAAAAGTCGGAATGTGTCCAAAAAGGCACGTATGGCAATTCACAATGCTGTGTTAGTACCTACTTTAATGTATGGTAGTGAAAGTTGGGTGTGGCAGAAGAAGCATGAGAGTAGAATAAATGCTGTAGAAATGCGGTCATTAAGGAGTATGTTAGGGATGAAGCTGAATGACAGAGTGAGAAATTGTTTAATAAGAGAAGAGTGTGGTTTGCAAGATGATGTTGTGACCAGGATTAAGAAAGGAATGCTTCGGTGGTTTGGCCATGTAGAAAGAATGAATGAGGAAAGAGTGACAAAGCAAATTTATGTTGCAGAGGTGAACGGCATAGTCGGGAAGGGTCGCCCTAGGCGAAAGTTTATCGACCAAATTGGCGATATATTAAAAATGGGCCAAATCAAGAGTACCTTTAACCGACGAGCGTGTATGCGTAGGTATATGGATGTGGAGGAAGCGAGAGAGGTGTGTCAGGATCGTGCCAAATGGAAGTCCATAATCTCTGCCTACCCCTCTGGGTGACAGGCGTGAGTGTTTATGTATTATGTATGTATGGTTAAATTAAAAATTTTGTACAACCGACTTCAATATAAATAAAATAAATTATTGTTGATTTTTTTAAAACCGCTCGACCGATTTCAATAAAATTTAAATAGGTCCACCTGGGATGTATAGCATGTGAGTTTTAGCAACAATTGCTACTGAAAGTAAAGTAAATAAAAATAAAATTAGAGTTATATAATTTACTGTCAACCTTAACAACACGCATTCTTCATGAGCTGTGATGATATATAGATGGTGGAAGATAGCTAGTGAAAAATACTCAGACAATTTTGTTTTTATTGTCGTCGGTTTTTCAAAATTCGCAATATTCTAGATTATTCTGGTGCCTGGAATTATAAAATTCTATATCCAGAAATTTATTCTGTGTAAGAATATCCTCTACACTATTTCGTCCCGTGGGTATCGTAGGAGGCATAATAGGGAAGCTGAAACAGGGGATGGGTAGGAACATCTTCTTGATTCACAATTCAAAATAAAAAATCACCTCTATGGGGAGGTCTATGTTCAACAGTGCGCTTTCATAGGCTGTAACGGATAGTAGATGACATCCATAAATGTCGATGTTATTTTTGAACAATAAATAAATACCTACCTGTAATTCTGGATTAAAGACTGTACCAGGACCGCACGACCTCTCCACTTTCTCTCCAAATACGCAGTAGTAGAATTTGCTGCAATCACTTTCATGTGGCAGTAGTTTATGAATGTCAAAATCGGCAGGGCATCCGTTTGGAAGAATTCCTCCATCACCAGTATTGTTATCCTCACAATCTCCTTCATCTTTTTCATCGTCAAATTTACTGCAGTCAACGTTCTCCGGCCAGTCACACACCTATGAATTAGATGACACAAAAATAAAAATAAAATAAGAATAAAATAAGGGTGAAAAACATTTACACACTTCACCTGATAGTAAGAGAACGTTGTGGCCCATAAAAATCTACATCTAGCCTCGATAAAGAATCAGAATGCAGATGCTTTGTCACCCGTGAAGACTATGAATGCCTCGCTTTCAGTAGAAAGAGTCTCTGGTTCTCTACACTCACAATACGAAAACCAGCAATATTATCTGTTGTTATCATTACCGTTACAGCCTATTACTAGTTACTTATTCCTTCTTCATACTGCATTTGGTATAGTTGCCAAGCTTGGCAGGCGAGTTGGCATCCGCATTTTTTTAATTTTATTAGTTGTTATTAGTAAAACGCTGCTGTCCATCTCCTGGTGTGTTTTCCTCTCTCACCACTTACGCAGCCACGGACGATGGTGTAGTGGGTATTCTTACACCTCACACGGTTCTTACGTGCTTCTTCTGTTACTTGCTGGTATTCTTTAGTATACGCCATCAGAGCAGACCCATTCGTGCTGCAGCTATAACTGCAGCGTGGCTTTACCACGTTAAGTTTCTCACGAGGTCGACTGGTAGAGAATGTTATAAGACGTTAGTTTGAGATGATTTATAATAGGGAATAAATAAATAATAAAATTATTTGAAAGATAAGTAGTTTATATGATAACAATTCCCTTTCTTTATCGGCCTCTAAAAGTCTTTTTCTTGTCCTTATAAAGATTTGCCTGAATCGTCACGCTTGAGGACCGCACGGTCAGACGTCTCGCACTTATGACATCGCTGTCTATCGCCGGTTTGCACCGGTTTGAATATTTTAAGTCTGACGTACGCCAGACAGATATATCGCCATCTGTCTACAGTAATAACAATTGCGTTAGTAAAACGAAAAATTCTGTTTGTTATACTCACTTGTAATTCAGCATTGAAATAAGTGCCTGGTGCGCATTGTCTTTCAACTTTTTGTCCGTGGACACAATAGTAAAATTTATTACACTTGGTTTCATGAGGGAGCAACTTATGAACGTCAAAATCAGCCGGACAGCCGTTTTCTAACAAATCTTCGTCAGATTCGGTTGATGTAGTCGTTGTCGATGTTGTTGTTGTTGGTTTTTGAGTTGTAGAAGTTATATTTGGTACTGGAGTAGTTGTGGTTGTTGTTGATGCTGGAGTGGTAGTAGTTGTAGTAGTTGTTGGTGCTGGAGTGGTAGTAGTTGTGATTGTTGTTGGTGCTGGAGTGGTAGTTGTAGTAGTAGTTGTTGGTGCTGGAGTGGTAGTAGTAGTAGTAGTTGTTGGTGCTGGAGTGGTAGTAGTAGTAGTAGTTGTTGGTGCTGGAGTGGTAGTAGTAGTAGTAGTTGTTGGTGCTGGAGTGGTAGTAGTTGTGGCTGTAGTGGTCGTTGTAGTTGGCTCCGTTGGACTTCCAGGAAGTGTACAATTAGCCAGAGTCGGATGAATACAGACCTTTAATTAAACACAAATATAATTTTTAGTATGTTATTACATTCAAATCAATCAAATACTCTTTATTGTATACCAAGGAAAGAAAAAAAAAACAAAAATAAACGAATATTGAGGGAAAAACAAAAGGTGGTCTTATTGCTGCATAGCAATTTCTACCAAACAACCCAGAAAAATAAAAACAAGACTAACGGATAAGATGCACTAATGTAAGAAATGATACCAACTTATATACTAAAAAGAACGTTACACATGATCATCATCATCATTACAGCCCTTCACAAATCCAATGCTGAACATAGGCCTCCACCACGGAATACCACAAAGCACGATCCTGAGCCACCTGCATAGCGAATTTTAGTTAATACATTATACATAATATACATTATTTATTACACCTAGTACCTATTAACTAAAATTCTATGTATTCGTTTTATACAGATTATTTACAAAGTAAAATATTCAGCTTAATATCATCATCATGACGGCAGGCTTTCTTAAATCCACTGCTGAAAATAGAACTTTCCAGGTCACTATTTGGTAGAGTTGATCCAGACCAGTCGAAACATGCTGTATTGCGGAAATAGAGAGGGTGAGAGGAATCATGTACCCTTTTAAATAAAACTATTTTTACGGATTTTATTGCGTATGTAGACTTGTTTTATATTCTCGACGTTTCGAGCACTTTACAGCACCCATGGTCACGGCGAGGGAGGGGGGGCTGAGGTGTTTGACGTCCCAATGTCATAGTGAACCAAGGTTATCTCTAGATTAAAATTATTAATTTTCAATTTAGCTCACTCTGGGCCGTAGTGAAGCATTGGGCTTGTGTACCCATACAACTTCGGTAGTTTGGGACACGTAGGTATTGTCGATTTTACGTCCAGATTTAATTTTACGAAGTGTTTCTTTATGGCGACTAGTGACCTGTTTTAAGTATGTTATTTGCTGGGTCGTTTTTAATCCTTTTATAAGTGCTTACATCCGACAAAGGTTCTTGTATTTTAAAATTATAATCTGACGTATCGGCGCAATAGATTTAGAGGCAAACAATTCTTTAGATTTTCTAGATATGTTAGTAATTTGGAATCCTGATAACACTTTGAGCCACACTGTGTATAGAAAAAAGATCATAATATATCAGAATCAATATTTGAATGATCGAGTCACTAGAAATGAATGTCCAGATTGAATCAAGCTTGACGGGTGGATTGACGATCGCAGACGTCTCATTGACGATACCAGAAGGGTATAGAGAGCTAGAATAATTACAGGCTGTAAGGCATTCTATCTTTCTCATTCTCATTCCTCAGAGGTGTCAACGCATCTGTAGCATTCTTTATTTGATGTTGGCTGCAGGATTCCAAGGACTGCAGTAGCCACTTAACATCAGCTTAGTTCTATTGTCAATTCAGTTTTATAAAAAAGACTCACATTACAAAATGGGAGGTGATGCTCTAACAACACCACCATGATAAAAATTCTGTTACCTGCAATTTAAACGAGAACTGAGTTCCAGGTGCACAATCTCGAGGTAGCTCCCATTTCATTCCATATTCACAGTAGTAGAACTTTGTGCAGTCGTATTCATGGGGTAGAAGGTAATGTTTCTGGTCCTCAGGGCAAAGTTCATTACGCTCACATTTTTCATTTCTCTCGTATTTGTCCTGCACCTGGGGTTTTCCCTGGGTTAGCACCAGGGCGGCCAGGAAGACGAGCTTTCCTATAAAAATAAACTTAATTTAATTAATTAACTGTGAATAGCACTGCAAGCATACTACTATAAGGTACAATACCAAAATCCCCTAAGCCGGTTATCGGACCTCGGAGATATCGTGTGATATACAATAAACGTTAACAAGAACATAAAGTCGAATTCATAACCTCCTTCTTTGAAGTCGGTTAAAAGTGTCAAGATTTTTATACAAGGTTGACAAACGACGTCCACCTGATGGTAAGTGGCAGCTGTGACTTATAGCCACTTACATCTTATTTATTTATTTATTTAAGTACATAAACGATTATTGAGATAATTCAGAAATAGTATACACACATGAACTTATATACTAATTGCGCAATCAATTTAAGGTATACACCGCTTGCTTCAAGTTACTAAAAAGTTACCTAGCAATTCTAAATACATAAAATATAAAAAAACTTAGGATAGAACAAAATAATATTATGTGTATAAAGCAATGACTTACTCCTAGTAACTTAAATAATGTATCGTTTACTGTGGCCCTAAACCTAGCTAGAGACATAACATCTATTGATCCACCGCACTTATTATGTAGTTGGGAAGTCCTGGAGACCGGTGAATTGGCTCGAAGAACTGATTTGTGAAACGGACAAGAGAGAAGTCCAATGGGCTTACGAGGCATTCGTGGCGGAATTTTAAAATTAAATTTGATTAGGAGTGCAGGACAACGCAACTGATATATTATAATCTTGAAAAAGAAGGATAGGTCAAGTAGATCCCTGTGGTGCGAAACGGACAAGAGAGAAGTTCAATGGGCTTACGAGGCATTCGGGCGGAATTTCAAAATTAAATTTCATTAGGAGTGCAGGACTGTTATCTTGAAAAAAAAAAGGATAGGTCAAGTAGATCCCTGCGGTGGTCCAAGTTCTGCACCCTTAGGAACTCTAGTTGGTCCTTGTGAGGACTAGGTCTAGGATCTCCGATAGCATAAAAATATATAAAAATAGATAGGAATAGGATGGCAGTGGCAAGGTTGCTTAGCGTAGCTCTTGCGATCGCTGTAAGTTTTACAGTGTATGCAAGCAACCTGGGTTAAGCCTAGTGAACCGAGTTTTGTGACAGTCTTCGTTCTGGTGTATCGTGGTTGGTGGTCTAGGTACTCGTATATTGGTGATTATGACAAAGGCGACGAAAGTTTTGAGTTAATAACTTTTATTTATTTTATTTATATATTTATTTATTCTATTTCTTTTTATTAAAACGACCCTTAAAATATTTTATTTCATTAATTAACTAGTCACTCCCATTCCCATATCACACAGAGCTCAAACTTAGTCTTAGACAGGTCAGCAAAGATCCACTTTCAAGATTTTCCAGTGAGTGATGACTGTGATGAAACCATGATGATGTCCATAACCATGACGATGTTGATGACGTTGACAATGACGATGAAGATGACGATAGAGATGACGATGATAATGACGATGACAATGACGATGACGATGACTGTAACGATGACGATGACCATGACGATGACTATTACGATGATCATGACGATGATGGTGATCATAACGATGACGATGATCATGACGATGACGATGACCATGACGATGACGACGCCGATGATAATGACGGTGACCATGACCATGACGATGACGATTACCATGACGATGACGATGACCATGACGATGACGATGATCATGACGATGACTATTACGATGATCATGACGATGACGATGATCATAACGTTGACGATGACCATGACGATGACGATCACCATGACGATGACGATGACGATGTAAATGACGATGACCGCATTTTAAGAGTTATTACATATAAAAACATATCCAACTGAAGAAAGGTGTAAAAGATGACATCAATAGTGTCTCGCAATGGATAGGTCTTAAGATAAGATGGACAAAATAAGTCATGTTTAACGTTTATGTCACACCTATGCCGGTAATTGTTGGGAGCACTAAGCTTGAAGTTGTTGATGAATATGTTTACCTGGGACAAATAGTCCCACTACGTAAGTCCAACTTCGACTGAGAGGTCAATTGACGGATTCAACACGGCTGGCCAGCGTTCGGGAGATTTAGTCACATCTGCTCTTCAGGCATACCTCAAAACCTTAAAACTAGATTGTACAATCAGTGCGTGTTGCCAGTGATGACCTATGAATCTGAGACGTGGTCCTTCACTGCTGGCTGTATGAGGAAGCTCAAAGTCGCTCAGCGAGCTATGGAGGGGACTATGCTCGGCATTTCTCTGCGTGATAGACTTAGTAACGAGGATATCTGCACCAGATCCCGGGTAACCGACCATAGCTCAAAGGATTAGTAAGCTGCAGTGGCAATGGGCCGGCTATATAGCTCGAAGAACCGACACCCGTTTGGGAAAAAAGGTGTTCTCGAGTGGCAGCCTCGTACCGGCAGGTGAAGTGTAGAGTATCTCCTCACTAGAGTGAAGAACTGGTAAGACAGCAGGAAGTCAATGGATGCAGGTGGCTCGGGACCGTGCTTTGTGGCATTCCTTTGAGGAGGACTATGTTCAGCAGTGGATTTGTGAAGGGCTGTAATGATGATGATGATGAGGTACTCATACGAAATAATACGGCATACGAAATGTGATATCGAGTTTCAAGACCCAAATCACCTATGTGACAAAAAGCCGCTATTCTTAAATCAAATCAAACGGAAGTGAGTCAAACATGTCAGACGGGATTTGGGCAAAACATTCTACTTTGTTTTACGAAGAATTTTTTTTGTAGAAGAAGAGAGCCGGATAAAAAGCTAGTGACTGAATTTCGATCACGGAGGCGACTTACAACGGACTAGCCGTCTGCACAGAACAGGAATACAGTGCACAAATGTGTGCGCAAGCACAGGTGCACTCGCTATACACTCACTCTCATAGTTCAATAAAGTGTTAATCCGTGGCGACCGGAAAGAGATCAGCAGACGCAGGACTAACAACTATACGTGCTTTCCCTACCACGGAGTTGATAAACTGCAAACTTTCTGGCTTTGGACTGCTACTGAGTATGTCTTGACAGAAATTACATAACTGATTTTGGCCGGAATCGGTACTCGAATCCAACAGCCAATAACCAACAGAGAGAGAGAGAGAGAGAGAGAGAGACAGAGAGTAAAGATAATTAAAAATAAGGTTATACACCCTGTTACGTCACTCCACTGTGCCACAGTGTGAGTAGGCAGACTTTACATATCCGAAAATTTTTCTTCAAACATGCAGGTCCTTCAATGTTGTCAATCAATATCCCTGCGAATTTTTTTCACAACCGACTCACGCACGTGATAAATAAGATTTTAATCACGACACGGCACCAATAAAATTTTAATTGCAATTTTAACTGCTGATTCACCATTCAATATGTTTAGTGCTTATTACTAATTGTCTAAAGTGGAAATGTTAAAATATAAGGAAGTACTCGAGTAAGTTATCTCCACTTAAATCACCTCTTGAAATACTGAATTGTGTTTTAAACTCTTATAATTTCATATTTTATTTGTGCATTTCTTGTGAATACGTATTAATAATTATTAACCACAGACTATCAACGGCCACTATTGTATATAGGCTTTCCCATAGACTGTCTCAGTAGCAGGATGGCAAGCCCAATTTTCTATTTTTAGTTATTTTTAGGAAAAGTTGTTGCTCATCTCCTGGTTTGTTTTCCTCTGTCGCCGCTTACCACCCACGGGACGATATATCGCCCCTATAGGGTAGGGGATACCGACACTACACTGTAGGTATCTATATATATGCTATATAATCATGTCTTGTGCAAATAGTTCGTCTCCGTTCAGTCTGGCCGCCGTGACCGAAATTCGTTTGAAGAACGTATATTTCTAGGAGAAAATACAAACTGATATCTGTCTCGCATTAAGTACGTGGTGTTCATAATTCATAACAGCTTGTAAAAGTCCGCTGCTGAACCTAGACCTCTTTTTTCAACCGACAGCAAAAAATGAGGAGGTTCTCAATTCGACTGGTTTTTTAATGTGTATTAAAAAACCAGTCGAACTTTTCGAACCTCAGAACTTTTTTCTAGGTGGACCGATTTTGATGATTCTTTTTTTATTTGAAAGCTGGTGCTTTTTGATTCAAAACTGGACAGTAGTTTTTATCTTTAGTAATGGGTATTTAATTGACTTCGACTACACTGATGATGTTCTCATTTTATTTATATTGAATACGGTTGTACAATTTTTTTTAATTTTACCCGTTGAGTTATATGTACTACGTACTAGAGAAGCCACTTCAAACAAAAATTGTGCGCTATTCTATGTCTTCGCGCATGCGCGTTAGATAGTAGAGTCGTGCATGCGCGAAGACGTTAATTTAATATAAAATAAAAGAAACATATTTCTTAATAAAATGTAATAATAATTATCTTATGGAATTCACAAATTTTCAATTTACGCAATATTTTGTTTAGCGGACGGATTGCAGTACAGTTCAGTTGAATATAGTCAATGTTCGGAACGCGAAATCTAGTGCGTAGTACATATATATGGATGATTTTACCACATGTATTATTTTGAGTTGTTACCAGGGAGATGCTGATGCTCATCTCCTGTTCCAGTTTCCTTCTGTCGCCTCTTAAAATATCCACGGGACGATTTGGGTTAGTGGATATTCTTACACCGCTGATACACTGTCTCCTCGAGTAAGTATAATTAAGTAGAAGTGTTAAAGTCAAGTTTATACGGGGTAGAGTCAAGCTGCAGCTATATTATGGTTGTAGCATGAATGGGTCGGCTCGACCGGACCACGCTCTCACAGAATACCAGCGTAAAATAGCAGCTTAATGCTGCTGTGTTTCGTATGGTGAGCGTAGAGAACCTTAGACACTTTCTACTGGAAACGAGGCATTCTATCTTAGTACTCAGGGTTGACAACGCATCTGAATTTTGATTCCTAATCGAGGATAAATGTAAATGTCTATGGGCCACAGCATCCACTTACAATCAGTTGGACAGTGTGCTCGTTTGTCACCCTTATTCTATAAAAAAATATATCTGAAAAAACGTTACGTACCGCGCAATAGTTAATAAAACATGCATTTCTCATTCAATTAGGTTACTTAGTAACAATATTATTTGTTAATTACGCCCAAATGTACAACTTCCGTACTTCTGTTTATACATCATTTTTATAATAATCATACTGGATGGCGATTAGGTTATCACATTAAATAACACAGGTTCATAAAGGTCGATTAAAATAATAAAATAAACAATTCTAACAAAAATAAAAAATGCGTCTTTCAAACAAAATAAATAGCGTAAAAATTGACACGAAATAAATCACCTTGATAATATTAGTTTACTGACCCGAAGTGACATGTAAAAGCGGCAACGGTGCGGCAGGTACGCAGTGCTCACGCGGCATCGACATAGGTAATTATTTACCTACACTTTCCCGTTCATAAGTAATTAGGCAAAAAACAAACATGAACGTGAATCTGACGTCACACCTTATAATTGTTTAATGAACTTAGATAATGGGTGATTTGTTCTTGATATGACTATCATAACAAATAGATTATACGATAGAACATGTTATTAAGTATCTACTATCTATATACATAAAGGGAAAACTTGGGCCTTTTTTAAAGCTTAATGCACGCACGGAGGATTATCTGATTTGGCACAGTTAAAGTTTATATGGAGTTCCTACAGAAAGCTAAAATTTATATTAAAAAATATGTGTTACAAATACATTCAATTTAAAAAAAAAAAAACGTTACCCCCACACTAGGATTTTCTCCTGTATCGTGAAGGCAGTTTACAAACATATATTGCACAAGGATAAACATCCAGACCCGGAACAATTATTCGTAGGCCATACAAATACTTGTTCCGTGCGGGATTCGAACCCGCGGCCCCAAGCGTTGCAACTCATTGCTAAGCCACTACACCACGGAGCCGTCTTTTAATTAATTAATTAAAAGACGGCTCCGTGGTGTCCGTCCGTTAACTAATTAATTTAAAACAAAATCATTGTTTACGTGCATACTACCAGTGTCCATTGTCAAACACATAATAGTCTATGGTCAAAGAGTCTAGACTAGAGTATACCGTTACTTGATTCTGTTACTCTGAGGTTGCATATCAAAAGTTTACCGCTGAACATAGGCGTGCTCCATAGGTTGCTCCATAGGAGAGTTTTTGGCATAGGCTATCGGGTTGGCAACCGCAGTTTTATTATATTATCAGCAAGCTGATGCTGCCCATCTCCTGTTTGAGTTCCTTCGGTCACCTCTTACGACACCCACTGGACGATGTAAGGGTAGAGGATATTTTTACACAGCTACTAGACAGAGCCATGCTGCAGCTATATTAGTAGTATAGTTATAGCACGAATGGGTCGGCTCGACCGGGGAAGGACCACGCTCTCACATAATACCAGCGTAAAATAGCAGCTTGACGCTGCTGTGTTTCGTATGGTGAGTGTAGAGAACCGGATACCGTTTTTACTGGAAATGAGGCATTCCATCTTAGTCCTCACGGGTGACAACGCATCTGCATTTTAATTCGCAAACGAAGATAGATGTAGATGTATATCGGTCACAGCAACCACTTACCATCAGGTGGACTGTGCGCTCGTTTGTCACCTTATCCTATAAAAAAAAGTCACTTCCGAGTCTCTTCACTACTGAGATGACTTATTCGGTTCCCAAAGACCAACTTTTCTGAATACCAAGGCCAGGCACGTGATTCGCGTGCTTTAAATTGATATCTATTTTAGAGGGTCCCCGAGCTGTGTTAAGTTATCGGTACAGTTAGAGACTTCCTCGAGCAGTGCATGGGGCAGAGGAGTACGATCCTTTGCCACCTAAGTAAGCGGACGACGGCTGCGGAAAGCCAGATAAGGATCTATAGGGTATATTCCAGGGTAATTGTTTGAGTCCAATCTGATTCTGCCTTTCTCTGAACCCTCTCAGTACATTATTGGAGAGCACCGAGATGGGATTTCAACTTCGGAGAGAAGGGACAAAAGTGAACCTCGTTTTTTCCACATGGATAATCTCAAATTATTCGCCTCCAGTCGCTATAAATTCAATATATTATATAAAATATAATTTAAAATTAAAAATTTTGTACAACCGACTTCAATATAAATTATTAAGAATAACTCAAAAACTATTGATCAAACTATGATCAATTTTATATGGAACCACATGTGATGCACCAGCTTTCGAATAAAAAAAGAATCATCGAAATCGGTTTACCCAGTAAGAAGTTATGAGGTAACCCATAAAAAAACATACAGTCGAATTGAGTACCGGTTCCTTTTTGAAGTCGGTTGAAAATAAGATTATCATCAATATAGTCAATATAATTAAATACGCATTATAAAGGATAACTCAAAAATTACTGATCGCATATTGATCAAATTTATATGGGACCACATGAAAAGCAGTAGCTTCAAATAAAAAAAGAATCTTGAAAATCGTTTCACTTAGAAATAAGTTCTGAGGTAACACACATAAAAAATACAGTTGAATTGAGAACCTCCTCCTTTTATGAAGTCGGTCGAAAAGGTGCTATATATCTATCTTGTTTGACCTTTACTATTACTATGGATCTAGTCCAGGAATGGAATTTTTAATGAAACTAGTTTTATCGCATATACTTTGTACACCTTAGTCTCCCCTATGACCATGGGTACTGTAAAGTACTAAAAGTCGTAAATATAAAATAAGTTAATATACGCAACATAAATCCGTAATACCTAGTTGCATTTAAATGTGTAGTGTTCGCGTAAACATAAGAAATCACTAGAAATGGACTGTTACGGACTGAACAGTTAAGATGAGTATAGTCAATATGCTCACCGATCATGGCGTCACAATGACGCAAAGACTTGTTGAAGTACAAACCACAGTTAATAAATTTAATATAGCAACACTTACTGACTGCGCAAATTACGTCCTGATTATTAATATATATTCATTCTTCTATCGATTCTGATACAGCCTTGATAAGTTTAGATAATTGCTTGTAGATTAATTGATAAAGACAAACATTACAAGCAGATCATCGCAAAATAGTTCCAATACTTATAATATTCATGATTGAGGAATTCGAAAAAGGAAGCACTTTTAGATAAGCAGTTATTAATATGTACATGTAACTCGTAAGTTTCGATAAAAAATAAAAATAAGCGACGTGCATTAAGTCTTTGTTACCGTTACAGCCTATTAAAGTCCATTGCTGAACATAGACATTCCCCATAGATTGTATGATAGGGGGGGGGGGGGATATTTACCATAGTTGCCATGCTTGGTAAGCGTGTTAGCAGCCGCAGTTTTTATTTATAGTCGTTATTAGGCAGACGCTGCTGCCCACCTCCTGATTTGTTTCCCTCTATCGTCTCATACGACAGCCGCGGGATTATATGGGGTAGTGGATATTCTTACACGGCCACTTCACGGTATTAAGTCGTTGTAATTTCATATTATTTTATTATATTAAGCCTGTTAAGTCGAGCAGGATATCGATAGATGTGTAGATAAGCCACCATTTCAAGACTTACGGCTGAAATTCGTGAGGTGCCGTAACACCATAAAATATTCGTAATAAATACCATAAAATATTATTTCCCTTTACGCCGATTCATGTGCGTCTTATTTATCCTTGCGTCGATCCTATATTTCTTTTCACTGTTTTTTGAGTTTTTTTGACATTGAGTGCTCTTTGTAAGAACATTCGGAATGAAAAGTTAATTAATAAGTAAAAAAATCAAGGAATTAAAATAAAAAACAGTCAATTGTTAAGAGGTAAAGTCACGCTAAAGCGTTTTATTGAAAACCAGGCATATTAGTCCTCACGGTTGACAATGCATCTTCATTTCGATCCTTAATGTATATATATGTACTTATATATATATATATCCTTAATTGGTAGATGTCAGTTTACTACAAGGTGGATCATGTTGTGTTCGTTTGTCGTTATTACTTGCATTAAAAGACTATTATTTAGAGTAATAGTAATAGATTCGCTTAGGTAATCTAGCAGCAGGCTACAAAGGCCCCGAACGTATATATATGTAAGTAAAAATTCTAAGTACTTCTATGGGACAGGATGTTTGTTTGAACAATTTGGCTAGCTTAGTTCCTAGCAGTATTAATTGTAAGTAATAATTTATAATCAATATATAATTATTTTAATTCAATGCGAGAGTTTTTGTTCCTTTTGTGAAAAATCTTTACTAAAATTCTTTTGGGCCCCCCGACAAATTTTGATACAGGGCAACCCTCCAAGGCACGCTACTCCACTGTTTCGCAGCCAGGTAATTTTATTAAACATTGAACTTATACTTCACGTTTAGACACACCTTACTGTTTGTTCTACGAATTAATCAATTGTTTATTAGCTTTCAAAGAGTAAAAGAAGAGGGAACTAAAATATTTCCGGTAATTTTTTTAATATATAAAATTCTCATGTCGCGATGTTTGTTACCAAACTCCTCCGAAACGGCTGAACCGATTTGTATGAAATTTTATGTGCATATCGGGTAGGTCTAAGAATCGGCCAACATCTATTTTTCAAACCCCTAAGTGATAAGGGTGACCCACCCCTAAATATTTTTCTTATTATTTTGACAATTTTTTATTTTTATTTTATTATGATTTAGCATTGAAAAATACGTGAAACTTCAAATTTTCACCCATCTATGATCAACCCCTGTTTTCAATCGCGATTTTTAAAACTAAAAAATATGTCCTAGAAATAATGTATATGGCAAAACAACGTTTGTCGGGTCAGTCAATTTATCGAAAAATGCTTGAAATTAAAAATATTACTGAATTTCGACTGTTTAAGTTCAAGATAGGTTTTGAATACGTATTTAGTTCAATCGTAAGCATTCAGCACTCAAAGTATTTAAAGATACTATACAGGAAGATTAATTAAATTGTAATTGTTAAACGTGATTATAAATGTCCTGTACTAATTGTGATTAACCTGTTATTTAAATTTATGGTATGGAGATTGCAATTCGTACTCAGTTTAATCAGAATATAATAGTATAGAATAGAATATAGCAGAGCAGAGCGGAGCAGAGCAGAGCAGAGCGAAGAAGAGCGGAATAGAGTGGAGAGTAGATAAGAGTATGTGTATGTAAAATATCAATAAAATGAAAGAACGTGTTTATTCGTTGGTATTTTTATTATTTATCTATTTACTTAAACAACACCTTGATAAACTTTAAAACATGGCTACCCAGTTAGCATAATGCCACAGCAACATAAGCCACATACGACGACTTGCGAGCAATAACTGGATATAACACTATTATTTAATACATTCACTACCCTATAGTCAATAAACTTCTACTTTATAGTTAAATAACAATTTAAATAAATATCTATGAAATGTTTATTGAGTTTGAATTTTTGCACACCTTGCATTAAAACGCTCTTGATGTAAGTGCGCAATGCGATGCGATATGCTAGTGATAGTGTTAGTAGCGGGGGATACCCGGGAGATATACATATACATATTGTGACGTTAACTTTTTTAAACATATTATAATGACTTCTACTGTTTTGATATACACAACACACCGCACAAACCAGTAATGCCTGAAAAATGTTTATGTAGATCTGTAGTCACAATTAAGTCGACGAATTTTTTGCTTTAAATATTACTGGTTTTGGCTATATTTATGGTAAGCAAGTTGTACTGAAACCAGTTACGTAATGTATTAAGATCTTCCTGTGCTAGTTGGATAATATTATTAAGTGAATGCCCAAAGTTACACATGTGTCATCAGCATATAAACTAATTTCTCCATGTAGAGATATTTGGCTGATATTGTTAACATAAATCAAGAATAATAGGGGCCCGAGTATTTATTCCTGGGGTAAACCACAAATTATGGTTTGAGAAGATGATTGCCGATTTTGACAATCTGAGAACGATTATTAAGATATGATTTGAAAATTTTGTATGCATTGCTAGTGATTCCAATCTGTGAGAGTTTATTTAATAGGAGTGTGTAACTAATCGTGTCAAACGCTTTTTTTTTTAGGTCGATAAATAATCCCAGTGCAATATGTTTTTGCATGGATGTTGGTTTTTATTTTTATTATTAAATCAATGGTAGCGGATAATGTGTTTGATTTTTGTCTAAAATCATATTGACGGCTAAATAAAAGTTGATTTGCGTTAAATGTTGATCTATACGATTGTAAATATTTTTTTCTAATATTTTCGAAATCACACAAAACTAAGATAGGGCGATAATTGTTGGGATCCTTCTTTGCACCTGACTCATAGATTGGTGTAACTTTTGCAGTTTTTAGTTCGTCTGGGAATATACCGTCCTTTAAATATGAGTTGATACGATTCGTCAGTTTTGAAACAAGGTAGTGTTTTATCCGTTTAATCACTTTTGTATTTATTTCATCTATTTCTAAACTACAGCTATTGTCAAGACTGACTTATTTTGGATACTTTTTCTGTACAAGTTCGTGTTAAAGCTGCAAGATATTGCTTATTAATGTTTGATATTTCTAAATTTGTAAGAGTATATGTCGAGTTATTATAAAATTTTGATGGAATCTGATTTTTCAAACGAGACCCGATTGTTGCAAAGAAGTTATTGAAATGCTCGCAAATTTCATTACTATTCGTGATAAGAGTAGTTCCAATCATAAGATTTGGAGGAGCACATATCGATTTAATGTCGTTTTTAAATAAGAAGATTCTAAATTCTTTTTGAATTTCGCTTACATTTATTGAAGTTATGATAATAGTATTTGAGTTTTGTTTTTGTAATCAATTCGGTAGTGTTATTTCTCGCTTTTTGAAATCATTTCTTAAAGTAATATTTTTGGGTTCTTTTTTAAATTTATGCCACAGTTTATTTCTTTGGTTAATGCTTTGAATGATAGTCTTGTTTATCCAGTCCTGTTTGGGTGGATTTAATATGTTTGTTTTTTGTTTTGCGCTTTTCTCTAATATACGTTTACGCTAGTTAGTTAGTTATGTTAGTTAGTTCTTCTCCAGCGAACTTGTAAAGAGCATCATAATCAATTACATTATACGTAATCTTTTGAAGTATTTCTTTTTTCATGATTTACCATCCCAACAGATATTTGCTTATGGTCAGATATTGAAGAATCAGTCATAGCTACATGTATATTATTTTGTCTTTAATAATATTGTAATTACATGGTCTAGATTGGTTCGTAGGTTAAAGTAATGTGTATAATTGCGAATTTGTAGATTATTAGCTTCCTGTTTTGTTTTTATTAATGTGTTTGTTAATATTATTTTAATTATTCTCTTAATTTATATCGTTCTTATAAATTCCATTACACAATTTAGTTCATCGAATTTACTCGGTGTTAGAATGCTTCTTATATTTAACTAGAAAAAATAAATAGAACCAGGATAGGTCTGGAGGTCATCGTATGTATCCAGCAGTTGATATGTTACAATTATATCTAGTTTTGTTTTTACAACAATTATAATTTAACGTTATAAAATACAAAATAAGTAAGAAAGTAAAGCGCATTATGTCCATGCACTATTATCTTTTGAATAATCTTCTAATATTTATTGCCCTTTCTTCATGAGATCGTTTTACATGCGTTTTGAATTTACACAAAAGGTAAATCACTGATAGGTCAGGAGCTAAGCGCTCATTGAAAATTTCACAGTATGCGGGCAACCCAAGTTCGATTCCAATGAAATTATTAATTGCAATTTTAAGTGCTGATTTACCACGTGTTCGGCAGTCAAGGGACACATGTGTAGTTCACCAACACGTATTGGGGCAGCACGGCTGATATTTCCTTGCGCTAAAACCCTCTCAGAAATGAGAGGAGGCCTGTGTCCAACAATAGGGCGTATATAAGCTGTAATTTTAAATCAGTGATACTATTAATAGGAATATTATTCGTTTCTGG